GAAGTCTCTACAGGAGAGGTGAATTGGAGGCAAAGATACAGCATGGGGTAAATAAATATGAGTCAAAATGGTCCTCAGTCAGATATTAACACTCAGACATGAAACCTATCTATCATTCAAGTGTTACTTTATGAGGATGTCATTATCCCTGATGTCCATTGTTACTGTGGGTTAGGGTCATGTCATGTTATTTTATTTATAAAGCGCATTTAAAACAACAGCAGTTGGTCAAAAGCATTTTTGACTTAATTTGTCACAATCCACACTGAACTGATTATGAATGAAAAGTTTAAGGAGAAGCAGCTCTTCTTGCAGAACAAACCCAGAGTGATTTTTGGCTGAAATTATTCCTGGGGTGGGGTTGAAGAATGACCCACATACTGTAAGTGCTCCAGGCTGCATCAAGATCTCTGATCAGCACGGGTAATGTTAAAATCACATTACCTCTCCTAGAGAAATAAATGATGCCTGAATGGAGCTTAAGTACCGAGGAAGACGCATCCATCAGCTCCGATCTGTCCATCGTGTTCAAAATGGTTCGTTTTCACAGTGTAGCAGGACGAGCACAGCTGTAACTTATGAAACTAACGAGGGCTGCGTTCCATATGAGTGTGGCACCAAAGCCAGTGAGCCGCTATGCAGAATACAGGGAGAGTGGTCTGACCCCATCATTAACTTTATTAATACTTGAGATGGGCAGTGATGTTCCAATATTCAAATGGTCATTAAATTAAAATAAACGGAGTATTTCATGTGACTGTGGTTTTGTCTGTAAAAACAAAGAGCCACTGTTTTCCCTTGTTTTTACCGGCACCTGGAAATGGTGTGATAACAAGGTCAGTTTATCATTTTACTACAGCACCAAATACAAACATGCAGAGACCACAGCCATCAAGAAACACAGCCATGGCACCACTGGATAAACTGTACGATGATGAGGCATGTGAGCTGCGTGGTCGTGTGACAAGTGCAGAAAAGGTGTCTCTGACCACGAACCAGCGTGTACAACTGAATCTTATGTGACCGTCACCTGCCGTTATATAAGCTACTGGAAAGTACACAGTGCTGTTCTTCAGACTAAAACAATGCTGCAGCGGTGCGAAGCACTGGGGACTTACAGGTGAAGTCACAGCATGCGTACATGACAACGTTGGCAGTATGGAGCGAGCCAACACGGAGCCAGACTCTCAGAAATATAGTATAATTAACACCTTATTCCAGAAGCTGGTGCTGCAGCAGAGTAGGATGGCGTTGCACTATTACTCAGATTTTATGGATAGCTCAGATCACATATAGCAGAATGGAACATCTCAATTCTTTGTTTCAGGCGTTTCAACACGATACTTATTCTAATGAGGCAAAGAAAGGCACCATTAAGGTCCTTTCTGCACAACAAACGAACGTGAAGTAAAGTGGTTTAAATATAGAGAAGAGAAGAAGAGAGAATTTAATTTTACATACATCTCATACAGGTATCTCCTCAGGGTTTTGATTTATAATTCTGGCAGTAATGTGCTCCAGAAATGAAATCAGAACTCATTGGTTTGTGCCAAGTATGTTTCTGACTTAGGCTGTGTAATTTTTCTTGACTTGAAACAGTTAAAATGGGATTAGAAAGAGAAGGTAGCCAAGCAGTGCTGCCAAATCCAAGTCCCAGCTCTCTAGGATTTAAAAACCCACAACAGAGGAGGCTGTCACAAAATTAATCAAGAAATGTTACAACCTAAATGTGAAGTAACAGCAGCTTCAATTAAATCCATTTCAAGTCTTTGTGCGTATCAGCTAAATTGAAGGGGGTGTGTGTGTGTATCCAGTTATCTTGTCTGAAACCTCACGAGTGCAACAGGAAACAAAATGGAACTGCTTCTTTTTGACTCTTTCAGTGCACATCATAAAGACGCGTCACACTCTTTGTCCCTTCCCTTTTCCCTGTGTCCTGCTGTCTGCCAGTCTGCTCTCTGATTCATCTCTTCCCCTTTTCCCTGAAATTGCCATTCATCAACTTAATGACCCACTTGTGCCTCTTTTTGGCTTCTTTTCCGTTGGCCAAACACTCTCAAGTGCAGGCTGTACATATCTTTAATTATACTTGATAAGGGCACAGATCTAGACAGTTGTGGGGTTTTGTTTATAGCCCCAGAATATTATTGTGTCTGAATCTTTAGTCGTACATAAGATTATGAGACTAAATCATATTTTCTTTCTGCCACTAACACCTAAACAGAAAACAGCTTGTTGCCCTGTGCTACAGAGGAAAATCATTTGCCAATGCACAGATTTATTAGGCTGAAACTACTGTACAGATCCAGCTGTGAACATCACAGCTGCACCATCTGCTCCGACAAACATGCTGAGGTTGAACAGACCACCAGATGTTTTTTAGAGTAAAGAGATTACAAAAGAAATTGAGATAGAGAGAGCACAGGAAGGGCAGAGAGAGGTCTGTTGTCATTTCTGTGTTTCCTAAAGACTTTCGTAAACATTTTGTTCTGTGAGTATGTACAGTTTAAATGATGTTGGCTTAAACCTTAGCATCTGTCTCATCACTACTTTCTTCTCCATTTCTTTTTGATTACTGGAATCAGCTTCTGGTTTTACATATCAGCTGTATGTATCTTGTCTGTTTCTCTCTCGCTGTGCTTTTCTGTCCTCCTGAGTTTCGTTTTTCTCACCATCTGTAATCTGCACTCTAACTCTGCTCGGCTATCACTGGCAGGAAATAGGTGGGTCGCTTTTCTGACTTCCCAGCTAAAGCTAGGCGTGTCGCTTTCGTTTCCTCTCCTAAAAAAAAAGAGCCTAGCATGTTCTCTGTACATATATCTTCTGTGCAGCGCACACAGACTGCACATGGGGCACAGAGAGAGTTTGGTGCAGTAAAACACCTTTTAGCCTCTGTCTCTCAGTGGGACTCGTCACCACACACGTTTACCTCTCTCGACATTTTATAATCACTTTAAAAAGCTTTCTTTTCTAATCAGAAATTCAGAGAAAGGTATAGTAGCGCTCATAGATTTAGAGTATCTGTAAGTCACACCCTCCTTTAATATGATGCGTATATATTTTGATTTGTCACCACTTGCTTCCTAAGTGCAGCCTCCTAATCCAGAGAGGAAACTGTCTGTCCTCACCCATCCCTGAGTTTTGTTCAGCTTCCCTCCCCTCCCTGCATCCCTGACTCCTTCCAGTTTCATTCATCATTCATAAATTGAAGGTCAGTCCATGCAGGCGCCTGCTGTCACTGGCTACTGTGAGCAATGATGGCTGTAATCGCAGAACACATGGAGGTCACTGGGATTTTCAATTGGTCCTGGTTCCCAGGGCTGACGGAGCGTAACAGTGGCTCTGTAGGAGTTCAGAAGGATGAACCCAGAGTGTGTGTCCAAGCAGTGAGAGGCCTTGGAGATTTAAAAACCACTGAGAGGTGCACTGGGTGAAATTCAGAAAACACAGTTATCTTTGTTATATCAATACATGTTCATTGTTCTGCTTTCTGTTACTAGTTGATATCACATAATGTGGACTGTAAGGAGCAAGATACATTATTGTAATTGTGCAGGAGAGCAAGTGTTAGACATAGATTTGCTGTGCACAGGCCAACAAAATTTTGTTTCTGTAAATCATCACAATCTCAAATATTGGTAAATTAAACAAATGGAGAACATTTTAATAGTAACTATAGCTTGGATAAAAAGATTAGTTTGGAGCATGAAATGATTAAAAAGAGGTAACAAACCCTGAGGAACACCAAAGGTTTTCTTAGGTCAAACATTATAAGCAAATTACTGTAACAGGAAATGGGGAGGCCTTTTAGTAAAGCATGAACACATCTCTTTACAAAACATTAGAGAGCATGTATGGATTTAGTTAAACTGTAGAGCTGAAGTGAGTATTTACAATGTACTAAGTGAATCCTAAATGTCTGTTCTGTGCCACCTCTCATTCCTAAACATAATGTCCTTCTCTCACAGACGGTGGACATTCATAAAGAAAAGGTGGCACGTCGGGAGATCGGCATCCTTACCACAAATAAGAACACCTCTCGCACCCACAAGATCATCGCCCCGGGCAACATGGAGAGGCCGGTGCGCTATATTCGAAAACCCATCGACTACACGCTGCTGGATGATGTGGGACACGGTGTCAAAGTAAGACTTTGGTTATCAAACCTTGTTTCTGTTCACTTCGTAGCTATCGGATTTCAAAAACTCACGACTTTGATAAATGCTCTTGATTTCCATTGTTGATCAGTTTTGCCTGGCAGGAAAACACAGACTTGGTCAAGTTCACACTTGCTGTTTTCATGTGAAGCAGAGTGTCTGCTTTCATAATGCGCGCACACACACACACACACACACACATTACAGGCGGATCAATACGCTGGCCTTTTACTTGATTCAATACAGAAACACCTAGAAATGTAAGAGTAGGATTTGGCCACTGACTGTGGCTGAAGAGATTCTGTTCACGCCCAAATGTAACAGCTTCCTAAGCTGGAAGTCATTAGGGCGTGGGGGTGTTTGTGTGTGTAGTCTAGAGTGTTGGCTGAGATCTCTTTTTAATTTTTAATTAATTTATTTTTTTACTAAGTGTTACTCACACCATCACATCCTCTCTACTGAATTATGTGAAAATATCCTTTAAATCCTTTTCCGGCCCATTCTTCACTATTATTTTTAAATTCCTCTCTCCCCATGATCCATTAGCTTTCTCCTCTCCCCCTCTGATTCTCTTCCTCTTGTGCACAGTTCTTTGTGTTTCTGTGTCAGTCTCCACAGTTTTGTGTATTGATCGCTGGCGTCATAAGTTTCCGCAGCAACGTCTTGAGTCCTGTCTGTCTCTGTTGAGATAGTGGCCGTCTGCTCGCTTTCAAACATCTACTGATTCAAATTCAGAAGCTAGTGCTCAGTCCTCTGAGAGCTGGCTCACACCGAGACACATTTGGCATGACTCACTATGCAAATGAAGCATCATTCATGGATGCTGCAAGTAATTGATGTCTGCAGAAATCACTGCAGATTAGTGCAAATGCAAGAAATGTACAACCTTTTTGCCCTTTTAGATATACATGCATTAGAAATATGTCTCACTTAGAATTACGTGGCTCAAACATCTGTAAAATTGGGAGTCTACATTTGGGCAGCAGCTTTAATCAAAATGAGTAATTTGGTTTAGGAAGGAAGAGATCTTCTGGGGGCTGAACTTGCCCTGCCTGCTGGTTCGTTTTAAATTCTCTGTGTAGCTGTGTGTGTGTGTAACTGCATTAGCGTTCATGGATGTGCATCTGTGCGACTCTGTGTCGACAGAAACGCATATCCTGTCTCATTCTTCCCCTAGAGCATACTCTCACACGTCTGTGAATGAAGTCAGAAGGACTGATATCATTTCATACTCACTACCAAACGCTAGATAGAAATGCAGAGAATTCTGAGAGTAGAATAATAATGCATGTGCACAGGTCTGTGTGTGTGTTTGTTTTCGTACAGATACAGTACATGTGTTCATGGTGCGCTCAGACTGTGTGGGAAGTAGCAGCTTATTAGCACTCCATACAGCCCGGCCCCTGGAGCGTTCCAGGCGTGATCATCACCCCTCTGCCTTTCATCCACATAACCAGGGGAACTCGCTCATGGATAAATGGGGAGTCGGACGCCAGCATGAAAAGACCCATTCACACATTTATGGATGACTGTGCTCACCCCTCCGCCGTCATAGCCTTTAGTGGCGTTACTGCCCGTTACCAGGGTGACATAGTTTTAGACACTGACTGTCTAAACACTGTTATTTATGACCTTACTGTGCTTTTACTGCCCTGTTTGTTTCCTCAGAGCAAAACTTAAAACGTCAGCACAGCCGCATGTAGCTCAGCAGTCGCTCATTGTTTCTAGTGTGTCTAATGATGAAATGATTTACAGTCTGGTGCACACATCTAGATACTGACACACAGAATATACACGTGTACATACGAACATGGTTGAGCAATAGTTTCAGTTTGTTTAATCTAGAGTACAGTGGTAGTTTGGCTTCATTCTCATCTTTTTTTTTTAAGATTTGATTACAAAGTGGAACAAAAGGAAGTTGTTTCTTCCACTTCGTAGTGTAAAATGTAAATTGGGTCGTTTGGTGTGGGTTTCAGCTCTGGTAGCCAGGTGCATGACTAAAACTAGGAGTGACTGATGTTACAGAAAGATATTTCTAATGTTGATGATCCAAGATAGAAATATTTTAATAATAAAAAGTGACCCAGGATGAGTGGAGAATGTGATGTGAAAGGTTCAACATTAATTACCAGCAATTTTAATAATCACTTCAAATTATGTATGAAGCAAAAAAGGCCAAAATGTTCTCAGCTGTCAGCTTCTAAAATGTGACGCTTTGCTACTTTTCTCAGTTTTATATGATTGTGAATTAAATGCCCTTTGCTGGTTGGACAAACAGGCACTTTGTGTGGGCTCAGGGAAATTGCCGTGAACATTTTTAACTATTTTCTGTCATTTTACACCACACAGATTAATTCAGCTTCGGCTTGTCAGAATTTCACATTGACTAATGAATTAAATGTCATTTTGCCTATAATGTTGTATATCCTTCACAATATAAACAGACTGTACACATTTAGCTTTATTTATTGTTCAGTATTAACTTTCTCCTGGGGGCGATTCACCCTCGCTGAGTGTATCGGCGCTGGCGGGTGGTGGAGCTACAGTTTTGTTTCAGACGAGGTTTAGTCAAACCCACATATCTTATTTTACACTTTCTTTATATTAATCAGCTTTATGTCCTGTTCCTTAATTGTGCCTCCTTACTGTTCTTGTCATTATACTCTTTTGACTTTGTATATTGTTTCTAAAAGAATAGAATAGTTCACCCAAATGCTTAGATTTCACACTTGTCACTCATTTTTTTAAAAACCATTAATCAATGAGCGTCTTATTTTCTGTCTTCTCTTTTTGTCTGCTTGCACTCAGTGGCTTAAGGCCAAGGTAAGAAATGGTTGTATTTCTCTTCGTTGTTTCATGTGTTGATTAAACTCGATGCTGACGTTTCCATGCACCCATTCAAATTGTCTTCCATTTTTTAAAGCATGGAAATTCATTTTCAAAGGCCAAGTGTACAATAGATTTATTGCAATGCAACTAAAATATTTCATGAGAGAATATTTTCCTCTCTTGTGAGCCAGTTAAACAGGCCACAGGGTCAAAAGCTACAGTTAATCCAACTTTTTAATGTAACTATTGCAGGTATAAACGTGCAGGTCCAACTCGCTATGCAAATAAAAATGGTACCGGGGATATGAAATATCATACTTCAGTATTTACTCACATTATTTCATCCATATAGCCATCAGTGAGTGCCCTCCTGTTTTGCGTGCACAGTTCTTCAGTGTAAGACAGCCAGTCACCTACTTGATGTCTTCGCCCCACATTAATTGCTCTCCTTGTCTCCTATTTTAAGTCTTAATATTTTTCTGTGGAGAGAAACGTCTGTGTGCCAGTGTTTCTCAAACAAACCACGCTCTGATAAAACTAAAGATGAGGTTTAAACTAATCCAAGTTTTCCTTTGGTATTTTGAGGTTAAGAGACTCCACAGCCTAAATTTTCATTGGAAGGGGAAACATTGGTGTGAGCTCTTCAGATTATACAAGAGAAGTGTTTTAATTAGTCTTTTCCTCCTGTAGCAACATGGGAACAACGCAGCAGGACGCGGTGGGACGCTTTCTAGGACCAACCCCCCAACACAGAAACCCCCGAGCCCCCCCATGGCTGGTCGTGGTACCCTGGGGTAAGAACTTGACAGAAGAATGGAGTTGTTATAGTTTGGTTTGTTTAAAGTGTGACGTGTATGCATTCTTACAACCTAGACAGCGGCTGGTTAAAACAACAGGACCATCTGTTAGTGGATCCATAAACAAACTGTAAAAGCCCAAAGAATGATTTTCTATTTGTCACCATGAGGATATTGAGAAGGAATCCCCTTCTGTCTCTTTCGGTATGTTTGCCTGTGACCAGGCGTAACACTCCCTATAAGACACTGGAGCCAGTGAAGCCTCCGGTGGTGCCTAACGACTACATGACCAGCCCGGCCCGACTGGGCAGCCAGCACAGCCCTGCACGCACAGCCTCGCTCAACCAGAGGCCCAGGACGCACAGGTAGCACAGACCCTCCCTGCTTGTTATTCACACTGATATATAATCTGTGTTTGGAGACCGTTTTTTGTTTCTTTTTAGAATTCAGCTACCTAAGGTGTAAATGTTGCACAGATGCACTAAAATAACTGGTCACGTTCTACAAACCATGCTCAGCCAGCATGAGGATCAAACGAGGAATCTCACAAAATGAAGGATGCATGTGGCAGACTGCTCTAACATTAGCATAAAAAGTAAAGTGATGTGTAATAAATAAGAACAATTTCTAGTACTAATTACCTGTGACACATTTCCTCTGTGTCCTTGGCATTTTTATACATGCATTCACTTATCAGCTAATTAGACCTCTTCTCTGAGCGGTGTGGTAATGTACAGAGTTTAAATGACTGACATCTCTGATAGGGTAAATCCCAATTCCCTTAACTGATCATTGCTTGCCCGACCCGGAAATCGTTCCAGTCGGCCCTCTTAAAGGACGTTTCAAAGCTCTTGTTCCTCCTCTGAGGAGCGAGAAGGCTGCCTGGAGGAGCCATGAGCGAGGATATACTAGACAATAATGGACCAACGTGCCGCTTTATTGGAAATCAGTTTGTGACAGGATGCACATAAGGGAAATGCAATTTACCCATCCCCATCTTATTCTCTCTTTTAGTTTTGTTTCATCTCTTAGGTCAAAACAACTTTTAGGAATGTGTTTTGGTGCAGTATAGAGTTTGGTGACCTGAAATACAGCATCACATTTCTGTTTTACTCACTGAAGTAATTAGAAATGGTGTCTATCAGTAATACAACACTCATCCATGTTGTGTGATGGCCAGAGCTTTGTCTTACAATAATAATGTATTCAGTGTATTCAGATTTTACAGTCGGTGCCTTTTTGTGAGGTCTACCTACTCTGTCAGTTAGAGCGTTTATGATTTGGACATGGTTCTTCTCTAGTCTGAACCAGCCAAGCCTTGGTTCTCACATTGATTTTGTTACACTGTGCAAATGTAACTGTGTGCTCATGTATGTGCGCCCAGTATTCACATGTGACCACGCCACACCATGCACAGAGCTGCAGTGTGTTGCCACAGTGACAAGAAAATTGTTATGACACAATGGCATATGAGAAAATAATGATAGGAAGTCAGACAGTGTCATATAATTTAGCCTGTCTCACACAAAGACTCGCTGTCTTTCTCACTCCCCCTCTCTACAGCGGCAGCAGTGGTGGTAGTGGCGGCAGGGAGAACAGTGGAAGTAGCGGAGTTGGTGTCCCTCTGGCAGTTCCGACTCCCTCCCCTCCCAGTATGGGACAAGGTGAGTGCCAGCAGCTGTAATCCTACGACTCATCACAGCTGTCCACAGTTTGTGCTGACTGCTGTTCACACTGGGGGTGTAGTGAGATCTCGTGCCATGAGATCTTGCAATGTTAAAATGGGACAGTATGTCACGTTGAGGCCAAAGCGGCCTCATAATATCAGTACATAACGGAACCAGAGCAGCATCAGCAGCCAGTATAATGGAGTGTGACGGTCTGTTCACATTAATGCAACTCCCTGCTGTGTTTTAACACACGGGGCTGCGTTGGTCGAGGGATGAGGGGTTGCAGGAGGAGTGTTGTAGGTTTGTACGTTACGGCCACGTTGTTGACGTGAGAGGCTTCATTCATGTTTCTAGCCTGTGAGTATCTGTTGTGTTTTGGTTAGGCTACGTTAGCAGCATAGCTACTCTACCGTAGCACCAGCTGTACCGCCAGTGTGTCTGCAGTGATAGATGAAACATCCAGTGCTAATGAAAATGCATGGAGTGTCGTTATGGTGCGTCGATTGTGGCCCAAATTTGACAGTGAATAGCAGCGAATAGTCATGATATCAAGGTAAACAAAAGAGCCCTTTTCCCGTGGGCGTCTACGTCCCAATCATCCCCTGTACGTGGTTGGTCAACACAGTACCTTTGCTGCATGATGTCATCATCCAGTGTAGTGTAGCAAGAAGGAAAATAGTACAGAAGGTCACACACATCTTCAGTTAGAGGTTAGAAGGTCTGAAGAGACTTGTGAAATCATACAGGTGAGAAACCAGTCAGGTCAGTTTGTGGTCAAACCTCATACAGTGCTTTCATATTGTTGTCTTTTACTGCATATGGTCGTTCATACTCAGCAAGTAGAACTGAAGTGACATTACAAGTTAAAACATTTCATTGTGACTTTCAGACTATTTTCTAGTCATATAATGCATCACTGAAGATTTCTTAAATAGTGTTAAAATAAGTGTGTCATCATAGCCCTGGTTCACACTAGCATACGCCTCTGTGTGTGTCACCAGCTCTCACTGGTCTACTCGGGTACTATGAGCAATACATCAAAAGTTCCATTAAAGCTACATTTATAAAATTCTACATAATATTAAAGATGTGTAAACCAGTGAAATATTTGCAGCTATTTAGCTTCCAGATCTTATTTTAGTCTCTCAACTTAAATATTAGCTGATGAAAAGATACAGTAATGTTGTAAAGGTATAATTCATAACTGTACTGTTGATGTTTAAAGTTTTTTCTTTTTATGCTCTTATTGAACCAACAGCAGGTTATTATTTTTACTTACATGTGTGGAAATACACTGAAAATCTGTGTACCATTATAAAAACTCCTTTTAACTTTTTAATTCAATCAAAAACTGACAGGAAGTGATGAGACTAAGGTTTTAATGCTGTATACCATGTCTCTCCTTCCCCTCTGCTGCAGTGGCAACATCCTCGGCCTCGGTGCCCCAGGGTCCCGGCTTGGGTCCCATCCCCATGTCCCAGTTCGGCACCATTTCCCGCCAAATCTCCCGTCACAGCTCCACCACCTCCTCAGCCTCCATGGTGTCAGCCACTGGCACCTACCGCCGTGCGCCCTCTGTCTCCTCCCAGCAGCCTCACATCAACGGGGGCCCTGCTTATCCACAGAACTCAGGTAGTTCGAGTTTAATGCTATATCTGTTGGTCATGTATGCATGTTATACACAGTGTGGTTTATTTGATGGTCGGGGTGTAACATTTTTGGGAGAAGTAGCTTAAGCAAATAGGGAGCTGAAAAGCTGTCTTCTGGGGCGGGAGCTAGTCCTTCCAGACAGTGAATGAAAATGAATGATGAGCCATAATTAGTGAAGGCAGGCCTCTTGAGTCCTTCCCACCTCAGTACTGCTGTGCAGAGTGTTTCATTATCATTTCTAATCGAGTTATGACATTATCCATTTAGTCAGCAGGAGGAAGTTTCTCATTCAGGAGAGACAGGGCAGAAAACGCAAACGGCTATTGGACAAGGGGAAACCCAAGACATATGCATATTTTCTGTCAGAGTATCATTTATTTTGGCAAGCGTCACTCTGAGCCACTCGCCTCAGAGCACAAGCATCTTGTTTGGCACAAAGCGCAGAAGGAAGAGGAGGCTGTCCATCTTGTCTGGGAGGAGAGAGACCGATGCAGGGCTGCATCAACCAATCCACTCAAACCGGGACATCGTATAGTCTCTGTCATTAAAGTTGAACTAAAGCAAAAGATAACATTTGGATTTGTAGCTGCAGCACAAACAGCCCGTTCCAGTACATGAGGGTGCTCACTGATCTGACAGGGTGGAGCTTTGAATGGATGTGGCTCTGTGGTGAGAGCAGGGTGGAGTAATAAGACACTACTACCCAGTTAGATTACAAACACCCCTCCATTACATGTGGTTTGTGAGTCAGACCTGCCCTGCATGTGTGACATCATGTCTTTGAGGGAGGACGACTGGTTTTCTCTGTCCATTTATATCAATTTTAAAGCTTCTATATGGGCAAAAGAAAGAAATTATACAGGTGAAGTCCATTCAGTAAATGCTACTCTTCAGCTACATGTGCATTTAATTTAAGTCAGTGTCCTGCCACATACAGATGCTGCCGCTCTGTAAATGCTTTTTGAGAACAAATACCTCTGCTACTGATCTGTCCGTGCTTTGTGGCACTGTGACGGAAGCAGAAATCTCTTGCTGCTTACAGCTTTTGCTTTTGACTTGAAAGGATGCTGATGAGGTAGATTCTCAGTGCGATAAGATTAGTGTTTCTTTAGCCCAGTTTGAAAAACTCAGCACAGAGGAAGACTGATTGGGAATGTGTAAATGAGTTGCTGAGCAATGCTTCATACACTGTTCACTTGCTCACAACCTTTTTCTCCGTCCTGCTTTTTTTTTCTTTGTTTTTTTTCTTATTCCACACAACCTTTTTCTCCGTCCTGCTTTTTTCTTTCTTTGTTGTTTTTTTCTTATTCCATGATCCTCTCTGTCTGTCGCCTCGCTCTTCACTCCCCGTCTCTCTGCTGCTCCGGCTGCTTTTCCTCTGGGTGTTGCTGCTCCAGTGTCTGTGGCTCCCCCCCCTCCTCCTCCCATGGTCCAGCTAACCCCGCAGATCCCTCTCACGGGCTTTGTAGCCAGAATGCAGGAGAGCAGTAAGTATCAACACATACACAACTTGCATTAACACAAATTTATATAGATGTATACACATAAGTGCAATCACACACACACACACACACACACACATGCGTGTGCAAAGTCGCACATGCATATCCCAGCTGTTAATTTTCCAAACATCACTTGATGCTCACACTAAAGCCCCTTTCAGACGTGCACTGCTTGCCAGGTGTTTTCCTGCTTCACGTCTAGGCGTCATGTCTGAACAAAGCTCTGAGTCACGTAGCCACAAAAGCATTAACTGGCAGTTGTACCTGACCAGACCTAGCCAAATAGCCGGCTACATTCTTACCGCCTACGCGTCTGAATTAAAGTGGTCAAATTGCTGCTAAGGGCTCGATCAAGGTGACGACGTTGTTGTCCATAAAGTGACAGCAGCAGTGACATCCAGTGGCATATAACCAGATATTCAACAAAACCGTCAGCCAGGATTTCACCAAGTTTAGGTCCTGTTACCCAGATTTCAGACCTGTATGAAACAGTCTTAGCATCAGCACACTGTTCTGTGGCTTGCCACACTCAGCACACCTTTTCTTGCACTGTATATGGGCTCGAGCACACACTCCTTGGATGTCTGTCTGTTGCCATGGTGATGGATCACTGAAAGCATGTGACCTGTACTCTCAGTCCACTGAGGAGACGAAATGGGACCTGATGCCTTCTGCTGATTCATCACCCACCTGTCTGTATCAGTCTGCTCTCGCTCTGAACTCCTGGATATCCTGTTAGACAAAGAACAGATTCTGCTAAAATACATGTATCTCGTTTTAACTGTATGATCTAGTGGAGTGCTCTTAAGTAGACCTTTAAACAGCAATCCCATTTGTTTTATATGAAGAACTGGAAACCTTTATGAAACGAAGGAGGTCCTAGCACTAAAAACCACTGAGCTCCCATACAAAGACACCACTGCTCTCCCAGATTACCACCTTAATAGTTAATACAACTTAAAAACATGCACCCACAAATGCTTTGTAATGTTTATGCCAGAAACTCTCTAGCTTTTTCTGTCTGCATGAATTGTAATTTACTATCATCACACAGGCTTTTATAGGGAACGATTAATATTCAGACAAACTACATACTAAAGCTGTGACTAAATGTAATGTATGCTGTGTTTACACCGACCCTAAAAGGGCTAATGAATAGCATTAATAAAATCCAAGACACCTGTTGTTTTATAGTGAAGCAATTTCAGCTCCTTGTGCTTCAAATAGGTTGTCAGTTGGAAAAACAGGTACGTAAGCAGTTAAATTTAGTCTGGCGGTGTATTATCTCCAGCTCTTTAACTCAAGAGTAGATTATACTGGGACACTTGAATCATAAGCTCAAATGTGGTTCAAATGTGGCTCGAGTCAGACGTTTAAAGTCACACTTGTGTACAACCCCCGCTTTAGCACGTCATGTTTGTGTGAACATGCAGACAGAAATGATGTGACCTTTTCTGGTGGTCATTGTGATCTGGTTCACCCATACGCTCAAGGAAATATTCAAGTTTTTTTTTTACAATATGCTTGAGAAAGCTTTTCTGTTTTGTTTTCAGTGTAATACAGGACGCAGATGATTTCCAAACCATTGTGTTCAGGTTTGATTTTGATTTCATATATGGTCCCGACCTTTTCTGATTCGAGGTTGTGGAAAGTCGTTTATAGTTTGTTTCTGACCCTCATCCTCCACTCAGTTTCTGCAGGGAGGCAAACGGCGCAGTACTAGCAGTAGTAGTACTGTATGCTGTCACTGGGGATTCTGGGACCATGTCTTTGGTGTTGTTTCTGGGAAACAGCCTGCAGGAAGATACTGTACATTCTACATGTTTTAACAAATAAAATGATGGCTGGAATTTACACTTTTACACTTGACTACTTGTAGGATAATAAATTTGGTGGTTCCTCACTAGAATTCTCCTCCTGACATGATTCAAACATTATTTAAATGTGTAGTCATAACTTAATATCTGTAAAGGCCGTGGAACCCGAGTGTGACAGTGGTGCATGCGGTAGGATGACTGCCTGACCAAAAGAGAGAGACACCCAAAGCTGCCCTCTAGTGCACACTTAAATTACTGCACATCTATTATGACATCTGATGTAGAAGTTTCAGAAAAATCCCTACTGGTTTGGATTGTGATTGTATAGGACATATTAGGTTGACTACATGTAAAGATTAGTGTGGTGGTACTCGGACTGTCCCTCCACTTAGTAACATTTGTGTTAGAATTGCTTTGCTGTGTTGGTCCCTGGCCCAGTCTGGGCAAAGAATAATGATGATGAAAAGCAGGTTTTGAAAAGCTCTTGAATTTTGAAAAGGAAACGTGTACACCGACTCTGCTGCAGGAGATTTACACATTCACAGCAGTGAGTACCAGCAGCCCCTTATCTGTGTGCCTCTTCTCCCTTGTGCCTTTTCTCATATTTTTTTCATCCTCTTTCTGATTTCTCTTTCTCTCCTCCACTCTTTCGTCCTCCAGTAACAGACGGCCCTGCCCCACCTCCCCCGCCTCCACCAGAGGACATGGGTGTGTTTGAGGAGCCCTCTCCCCCTCCTCCTCCCCCGCCCGTGGACTACGAGGAAGAAGAGGCAGCAGTGGTTCACTACAGTGATCCCTACGCTGACGGAGACCCACACTGGGCCCCCAAGGCTTATTTAGAGAAGGGTTGGTGCCAGGGGAAATGAGCCATGTGCTTATCTTCTTCTTTACCTGTACAAACAAATAAAGCTTTATCTTGACCCCGCCCTGTTTTGTCTTACTGTTGCTCCTTTCCAGTTGTGGCCATCTACGACTACACCAAGGACAAAGAGGACGAGCTGTCCTTCATGGAGGGAGCCATCATCTACATAATCAAGAAGAACGATGACGGCTGGTTCGAAGGCGTCTGCAACGGCGTCACTGGACTCTTCCCGGGAAACTATGTCGAGTCCATCATGCACTATGCTGACTAAAAACAAAACGCGCCCACCCAAAATAGCACTGCAGCTTTGAACAGAGGTAAGAAAGTGAAGGCATGCACGTACTGTACAGGCAGTGCAGCGATAGCAGTCCATACGACTCCATTGCCACCATGGCGACGTCTTTGGAATTTACAAAATGGTCCCCCCAGTTTAAAAAAATAAGTGTTGCACAATGGAGGATGCTGAAGCATTGTCCGGGGTCTGTTAGTTTACACTGTGGGCGAAAAGGAGATAAAGGCCTTCCTCCTTCTACCCCTGTCATGTGTGGTAGTCAGTAACGGTTACATTTAGCCTCACATGAAGCTACATACAGTTGTAATAGTTTCAGAGAATACCAAGTCTAGCTGTAGTTTTAATTTGTGCATGTGCCACAAACATTTCCCAGTATTTGCAGTATGCAGTAGATCCAGACAGTGAAGTATTACTACGATTTCATTAAGTAGATGAGGCAGTGTCATAAAACTCCTTCATTTGCACTGTAGACCAGCAGACCAGCTCCTGCCTCCCGTCAAAAACATTCATCTCACCGTATCTAAAAAATAAATGAAAAGGGTAAACAAACATCGACAAGTGCATTAGGACACCGTTCAAATCACAAGATGTTTACAAGGGAACAAAAAGCAACTCACAGTTGTGTATTGACTATGTGAGGGGTGCTGTTAAAAAGGGTGAAGTGAGTGTATAGAATGCATTACAAAAATATACAACCATTTCTTCTTTCTGTTCTCTAACTTGTATATAAACTGCAACATGAGAAGCTGCCAGTACATTTGTCGGTTAGTGTGTTTCACCTGTGAGTTTCCATCAGCGTCAGTGGAGCTGGTGCCAAGATTGGAAGTATTTTTTTTTTTTAATTTTGTGTTTATTTTTACTTGAATATTAAATTTATTCACCACTCACAGTGCCATTTTATCTTGACCTAGGCAAAGTGGCCGTGTATAAACATTGATCTACAGTATGTCATTTTGGTCATTGTCTGGTGATGCTGTCCAGCTACTGTAGCAGATGCTCCAAGATGCTCCTCGCTTCAGGATGTGAAGCAGAGGAAGGACTGACACGTATGTTTGTGTTCTTTTCCATTGTGTTGAAATAGCTGCACTGATTAGTTATCATCTGTGATGACGTTATGATTTTCCGTCGTGACTTTGGTCGAAAAACAAGAGTTCCTACCCAGATCTGTCAGCTCAGCCTTCACACGTGTCATCTGTTCCTTCAGTGGTTGATGATGTGGTGCTTTGCATTGGTGCTCAATAACCATAATCACCAACACAAACAACCTCAAGTCTCCTCTGCAGAGAAATGTAAGGATTTCAAACTCCTTACTTTGTTTCCAGAAGGTGGACGTTGATGGTGTGGATTGTAATCTTCAATCACTTCTGCGTTGTTGTGAATGTAGGCGACTCAGCAGTAATATACTAGAATCAGTCTGCTACTTGTTCTTTTGTCTGGAGTCTGTGCTACATATGAATGACACCTGCAAACCGCAGTGAAGGAATGAATCCCGAGGTCTTAACAACAGCTCTGATTTTTCAGATTTCTGTTATTTTACATTATAAGATGCCTGCTCTTACAAAGTGATCGCCAGGAAAACTCGCCGTCAGATATCACTGAAACTGTGTGTGTTTGTAACAAGTCACATAAATAAACAATCATATATGCTCTGGAACTAATGGGCATTGAACATGAGCTTTTATTTTGACATGGATATGGAGGTGACGCTTTCAGGAGTTTACACAACCTAGAATCTAGTCAAATCAAGAGTTTCTATTGAGCTTCTGTGCATGAAAGCATCTAAATGTCAACACAGTGAATGATTTGCCACTACATCCCATTCTTGATTGTATTTTTCCAACATGAGAATTTTTTGTGAGACCTTTTTCTACCTAAAGTGTTTTTAGCTTTGCATTCAACTCGTCTTTGTTTGAGACTGCTGAGGTCTGCCAGCAGTTCATATGTAAAACATTTATTTATAATTTTTCATAGAAGTCATGAGACAACCACTGATGTGCGGAACTTTGTAATGTTTACCACTTAACGTCTAGCATTTCAGGGCATCACAGCCCAAGGCGCCTTTCTTTAATGTGTGATTTCTTATGATCAAACATGGTGGAAAAAAAGATGCATAACTTTCGTGTTCATGGGAACAGAATTCAATATTTGTCTTCTCTCAGTTTGTACATAGGATGTGTTCAATGAAATTTATGTACAGTCTTTTTGTAATAAACAGCTCATTGAAACAATGAACAGAACTGTGTGTTTTGTGTGCTTTTATAACAGGTGTAAAAATCTTTTGTCCAAAACAAAATACAAATAAATATCATTATACTTTTGACAATAAATAAAGGATATGAGGCACGTGGTGCTTCTCCTGTAGGTGTGTACTTTACTCATACTGGCTCCAGCTCATTTTTCCAGGTACATCGACACGGGGATAAATTGGCTAAATTCCAACTAGCTGTGACCTGTGATCTCAAACGTTTGTGTATCCAGGAGGAGGAGGAGGGATGAAATCAGGTGGTGGCTCATATGGGTAGTTGTCAACATTTGTGGGTTTGGGTGGAGATGGATCTGGCAGTGGGCTGACCTGAGAGACAAGACAGTTGAAGCTCTCTGTAGGCGATCAGATGAGAATAATGGTCAGAGATGTGGGTGTGGGGGTTTAAATATTCTGTATTGTTTAAAATTCATGTTTTTGTACACTTCTCTCTAATGCTGCTGTCCAAAAACAGCAGGATTGGGCCAGTATGTGTAAAGCTGCTCTAAGTTCTCAGTGTTGACATATACATGACTGATGTGGTGTCACCTCTTCCCTCCACTATGCAAAAATGAAGCCAAAATATTGTGAATACAGAGGCTGCCATCTTGTATTTCTGCAACCAGACTGTGCGCAGTAGCTACCAGAAGTGGAGTGAGGGCATCGGACCGCCAATCAGAGTCAGATCAACTCATCAAGTACCAAAAACCACAGAAGTGACCTCTGTGGAAAAACTGATTTGATTTGTACTTTGAGTTTTCATTTTGGCTTATACTCCATCCACTAACATGGAGGAGGTAGGGTTTATGACCCCTACCGCAACGAGCCACCAGGGGGTGATCAAGTGTTGGTGGCTTCACTTCAGAGAGCTGTCAGGCTGTCCATCTACAGTCAGTGGTCCTCGGCATAACTTCTGCTCTCATTCTTATTAGGAATAAATACCAAAAACACAAATGTTTTACTTTCACATAAACTTGGCTAAATGTTCTAACTTCTTTACACAATATTTCCTCAAAGTCCTGTTTTTTTTCCTGATATTTTCAAAGACCACTTAGTCAAGGTTTAATAAATACCAGCCCTGTTCTACAGACAGTGTGTAGTCTTACCTTTGTTTACAGCACAGTGGAGGGTCTGCAGTGTGTTCACTCTCTTTATTGCAGCCTGGTAGTTCTTATACAGGGCAGTCCCATACTGAACACACACAGTTTGTGCTGTTACTTTTTTCTCTTTCACACATTATAATTAGATTCACTCATAAGAAAGTGAGTTTTGTTACTGTCAGTGCTGAATCTGACCTTGGCTATTCTGATAGAGTTGAGCCACAGCAGCAGCATACGCTCATCGTCACAGCACAGGAACTTGATGCAGTGTGACTCTTTCTGGATGCACGGATGCTGGGAAAATAATAAAGGTAGGCAGAGAGTCATTTGAGATTTAAAACAGAATGGTTAAAACCGATGCTGAGGCAGAGACAGTCTGACTTTTAGTCCCTAGTACTGGTCAAGCCCCAAGCTGTACTACACACATGAGGCAGCAGAGGGCACCACATCCCCAGCTGTTTCTGCACTGTATGGTAACCCTGGTGTTACTGTTCTGTGGAAATGTGGCTATCACTTGATTAATTTCTAAATGGAACTTAGGTCATTCTAAATGGAACGTTTATTATAAATACAAGAAGTAGTAAACACAACACTACATTTGCAGTATGTGTTGTTTAACGTGACATGTCGATCAAAAAGGCCCACACTGCATCCTGGTCAAAATGGACAAAACTTGTGGAGGCCGGTTTGTGTTTCCTATTCATATTGCTTCCTCATATCATGACTTCATGTTTATATTTTGCAGTGTAGCCGTGCAGTTGTGCAGAGTGCTGCTTTCATCATATTCAGTGTTGTTCTCAGTCTGTGCTCCTGTTTGATGTAACCATGCTCTTGTACACAAACAACCATGCAGTACATGGATTCAGTGTCATTTAGAGACCTCTAGCAGGGATAGAACAATAGAGGGAAACAGAATAAAAAAGGTTGGCGGGGGTGGGGGTATAAATGGGTGGTTAATGAAAAGTCAAAATGAAAGTATTGTGGTTTCAGCAGGTGTAGTGTGAAAATGAAAGCTGTCTAATTTTGGTCAGGATCTATGACCATTATCTTTGTCATAGAGTACCACAGAGTACCTTGTCCACTATCAGTTCCACTTTGTTCCACTCTCTGTTCAGGCCTGCCTCTAGCCTAAGTTAAAATTTGATACATGATTATATGTGGTCCTTCTTTCTCTCTGTATGTTGCCCAACAGGCCTTGGTTACGACAGACATTTTGTCTAAATATTTTTCTTTATTTATAAAAGCAAGACAAGGCTGCTCCCTCTCCCCTTTACTTTTTGATGTCACCATTAAGTCCTTTGGTAACAGTATTAAGAAAGGACACTGGATTGATAGGGTTAGCCTGGCAGGACAAACAGACAAGCTGTCACTGATGCCTTCCCTTATAAGGAAGGGGTTTTTGGAAACACAGAGGGAGGAGGGAGGTCAGGTCATGCCAAATTAAATATTATTACTGGAATGTCCGCATCTATATGCTAATGTTTTGGGTGAAGCCCCTCTGGGCCCTTATGGAGCAACATAGCTGCAGTTCAGAAACAGTGAGGTCTCTAATCTGTCTCTCTAATCTCTGATCTGTTTAATCTTTACCACTAAAAAAACGTCTCCTTACAAATAACCCAGTGACTCTGGGTACGCTCAAGATATGGGGACAGTTTATGACCCTTTTTAACTGCAGACAAGGCCTTCTCATGGGTCCCTCATCAAATCCACTATCCATCCATCCATCAATCCATTATTTGTATCTTTATCCTGAATAGAGTCTTAGGGGGGGTACACCCTGGACAGGTCTCCAGTCTATCACAGGGCTGACATGTACAACCACACACCCACTGACTCATAGGGGAAATTTAGTGTTGCCAGTCAACCTAAACTGCATGACTTTGTACTGTGGGAGGAAGCCAGAGTACTGTCACCTTCTTACTGTGAGGTGACAGTACTAACCACTGCTCCACCATGCTGCTCTGCACTATTCCCTTCCTCTCTTATGGACTCAGCATTCTAGCTGTGGACCAGAAAGGTTCTGGTTTCTGTAGATGGGCTTTTCAGGGGAGGCACTTCATATCTGCTCAACACTTACAGGTTGAATCCAGCATTCCTCATGCAGGTACAAACTTTGTCAAGAAATACAAACATGTATAAAATGAACACAAATGGAGTTAATATGAATTCAAATGTCACTTCACTTCTATTACAATGACATTTATTCTGCTCTTTGTTTCCGTTTCTTCTCCATCTGCTTCATCTCAAAAATGATCTCAACTAAACAGGAAACCAGTTATGTGCACGGTACATCAGTAGTCAGTGCATTGCTCAGAATAGTTTTATTTAAATAGACACATGAGTGAAGGCAATTCTGAGCACCTTTATGAGAGACAATGTCAAACTAAATATTCTTTTGCATTCATGTCCTTCAAGCGAAGCACATGAAAGACATTTTTTCCTGTTAACTAAGATGTATTAAATGTGAAGTAACACTAATTTGCTCTGTAATGCCACATCAAAAATTGTTGAACTTACCTTTAGCACAAAGCAGAAGTTGGTTGGAGCTTTGTATTTCTGTCTGTAGTTGTTGCTGGTGTAGATGTTGACTTTTTCAAAATGGACAAAACAGGCCAGATCAGTGGACGACTGCAGTGGAGGAAAACATCATATCATCCCACAGTGACGGTCAGAAGTGTGAAAAATATGTATTACTGAATACATCTTGTGTTTAAGCATAGATTGTTATAAACCTCAAGTTATACTGCAGATGCCATGTGTACAACAAAACTGCTTCTTGGGCACTTGAGGCGCTGCCAGTTCAGTGCAGCTTTGCAATGTTATTGAAGAGGTGCTTAAATTAGATCAGTCTAAATGCTGGCCAGTAGTTTGTCATTATGCTCTGGCTGTCTTTGGGCGTCTTGTGTGAAGTCATACATTTTCTCAGTATTATTTTATGGAATGCTTAAAAAAAATGAGGGTACCAGTGAAAGCAAGTCAATACCAGACCATTTGTCTTTGTTTGACTTTCAAGGAAAGCCCACACTCAAGCTCCACTACTAGGAAAGGATTTAACTTTTCTCTCTAAAGCATTTATACATTCCTTCCTGTTTTGATTGTAAGCAGAAGCACTTCATGTTTACACATTAAACCACAGTGACTACAAGAATGGCCGTTGTTTTCTTTCTTTTTCTCCTCTTTCAGTTTCTTTCTGACATATTCTCCACCTTTCTCCCACTTTTTCTTCCATCTCGGACCTTTTCACCAACTATTACCATAACCATTATTCTCTTACTTCTTCATACAGTATATTGTGATCATTTCTGTCTCTGTTAGTCTTGTTAATATGTTTTTTACTGTCTGATTTTGGCCATTTCTCTTTCCCAGTGAACTATCCTTTCCAGATCCTCCTCTGCTTCATCCATGTGTCCCTCGGATGATTCCTGCAGCTTTCTTGTGTTTGCGATTTGCACATCTGCTTCGCATAGTTTGCAAGGATTCAAGTTCTCCGGCACCGTGCCGGATTTCCGGTGTGGGGATGTTTTTGACTTGAAAATGGATAAATCGAAAATATTCTTGTGACTTTTTAATGTCATATAAGACTAGGCCTGTAGCTGTATATGTATGTATACAGCCATAAGGAACCTTGTACTTTGTATTATCAATGTACAGTAGACCTCCTTTATTAATAAAAACCTTTGTTTACACTGTGACTCAGTGAGGTGTCAGCTCAATAATGCACGTGAAAGCGCCGAGCTACTTTGAAAAAGTCCTGCAATAAATAGGCTACTTGTTTTGTTTTCATGTGGTCAGGAGGATCCTTTGGACTAATTTGTCGTTTAACAACAGTAGGTCAATTATGCCCCAGGAAGTTTAGAGACCAAAGGAGGAACGAACGTCAAAAAGCTTGAAAGAGGAGTACTGGATATTCTCTGTAGGTTTGCAGGTTGTGCTTGGACTTGGATATGATTACTAAATTATAGTTTCTGACTGAAGACAGGACAAGAAAATGAGTTTTTCCTTCATTTTGGCCTTTCAGGTAAATGTGAGGACTCGTATTTAGAAACAGTTAGGTCTGGTGCTTGTAGCCTACAGCATGCTAGCGGTGTTTTTAGCTTCTAGACATGTGTTTTGTTGGTCTAGAACAAAAAAACAGTAACCAACATTAGGTTTTCCAGTCACGTTCAGATGTCATCAACACTTCATCACACTCTGCTCAGGGGTAGGTCTAGAAAATTTTGGATGGGGTGGCCAGGTTGGGCACAGGCTCAGAGAGGGGTGGCACATTTGAAATACATGTAAAAGGTAAATTAAACCCCCAGTTCAGTGAAATAATACGCAACAGACTATTAAGAACCAAATAGCTTATTCTGTGTAAAAATGAGACAGTGCTTTTTTTAAGCTAACTTTGAGTGTGCTCCTTATTTAACTACTTCTGGCCATGGACATTGCTATTGCACAATTCAGTCTGAGAAATTAATGTGAATATTACACTGCATGTATGATATAAAATAAATACATGTTACCAATAAAACACCAGAAAAATGTTAGTTGTATTTAATAATTTCTTTGGCAATTCAGGTTGTAAGTTTAAATATACCAGCTAGTATGCACATTAGGCAGGTTATCTTGCTTGTTATCTATTCATGTGTGGTGCCCAAAGTTACCTCATGAACCACCAGCGGGCATTCACCGCTTTCACTGTCATGACAACAGCCCACCATCGTTTCCTCTGGGCTGTTTGTATGGGACATGGTTTCCCTCACAATGGTTGCTAAATGTAACACCTATTTGTTGTTTCTAGGGCAGCAATACATAGTGTTGCATTTAGAATGAAATATGACTGTTCTAAAGTTTTGCCTTACTTTGGTCTTTCCTTTGGGAACATAGTAGATGCCTGAGGCCCTGAGCATGAAGTAGCGAGGTTTCCAAACCTTTTTTCCATCTTCCTTTAGGTACAGCATGCCTTCAAGATCAGGAACAATCAGAGCAGAGCCCCCAAAATTCTCCTGCAGGGTCAGGGGGAAAAGATACAAGACTAAAATTAACACAGGATGTTTTTTTTCTTTCAATAAACTGTAACCATTTTCAGTCTTAAAATTTGTTACTGTAGCTTGTGTACATAATAGAGGTGTTGACTTAATAACTCACTTTCAGTAAAAGTTGTTTGGCTTGCTCATTAAGCCCAATCAAGCATGCGTTCTTCTTCTTCCACATGTAAAATAACTTCAGAGTAAGAAAAGCATTATTCAGTTTGCCAACTCAGTGTTAAGCCATGTAATCATATTTTGGCACTAAGAAAATACATACTGAGTTTTGTGCTCCTACTCACTTGTGGGTCTGTGAACATCACATACTTCTGAGGTTTTGACACAAAGTAGATTTTGTTTTCACTGTGGCGAGTCCATGCAGACAGCACCTCCACTAAGCATTCATGGTCCTCAAAACCTCTTTCTGACAACATAAGAAACCAAGCGAACAATAGCAAGAAGCTCCAAGAACTTCTTTGAAAATGAGCATCAATCTTGAGTCTTGAAACATGTCTCCACCAATCTCCTGCCTTCTTGACTTGCATGTTTGCACATACTGATCAATACTCGCATATGGCCTGAGTGCATGTATACGTGTGTGTGTCTGTGTATAGTCATCTCACCAATCTGTAACTCAGGATTGGTCTCACACAGGCTCCAGTTGATGCTGCAGTCACAGTGCGTCTTCTCAAACAGTTTGTCCAAAACATCTCGCACCACCTGTCTCTCATCCACCATCAGAGTCTTGGAGCTGCCATCACTCATCCACACCTTCACTATCAACTAGAAGAGGCACAAAGCTCAGTTAACCATGCATTTTGCATGGCAACAAAATTTTACATGACATGACATTTTTATGAACCCACTGACATCATGTGACATCATACATCAGCTTTTGTGAGGACATGTGTGTTCCCATAAAGACCTTCTGCACATACAACAACAAGCCCTGGTTCACAGTAGAACTCAAGAAGTTTCGTTGTGCTAAAGAGGCTCATCTGTGTGGAGAAGCCTGAAAAACATCACTGGCTACAGGAAACCATGTCCCCTGCTGCGGAAGACCATCAACTAGCAGATGACCTGAATGCCTTTTATTGTAGGTTTGAGTAGCAGAACTCCCCTCTCACCCACCTCCCCTTAGACCCACAACTGACAAGTGCTTTCTCCATGATCACCTCCCTTCCCCCCAGCCCCCCACCTCTGACAATCTGTGAAGAGGCTGTATGAAACAAAACATCAGGAAGGCATGAGGTCCAGACAATATGACCCCCTCCTGTTTGAAAGCTTGTGCTGACCAGCTGGGTCCCATCTTCACACAGATGTGAAGTAGCCTCCTGCTTCAAATGCACCCCTACACCCTGGTTCCCAAGAAACCCACCATCAATGGACTCAACGACTACAGACCTGTCACCCTGACGTCTGTAGTCATGAAGTACTTTGAGAGTCTGGCAATGGCCCAACTGAAGCACATCACAGACCCACTGCTGGACTCCCCTGCAGTTTGCCCACTAGGCAAATATGTCAGTGGACGATGCAATCAACATGGCACTGCATTACATCCTGCAACATCTTGACTCCCCAGGGACCTATGCACAGTTTCTTTTCATGGACTTTAGCTCAGCATTCAACACCATCATCCCGGACATCCTCCACTCTAAACTGACCCAGCTTACTGTGCCTGCCCCCACCTGTCAGTGTATCACCAACTTTCTGACAGTTAGAGACAGCACAGCTCAACACAGCACAGGTGCCCCCCCTAGGATGTGTGCTCTCCCCGCTGCTGTTCTCCCTGTAACCAATGACTGCACCTCAGGGGACCCCTCTGTTAGAGTGCTGAAGTTTGCAGACACCACACTGGTCATCGGTCTTATCAGTGGCGGGGACGAGTTGGCCTACAGACAAGAAGTTGAACAGCTGGCTCTATGGTGTGGTTTCAACAACCTGGAGCTGAACATGCTCAGAACAGCTGAGATGACAGTGGACTTCAGGGTGAGACATCACACCACAACCCCCCTCACCATACTCAGCAGCACTGTATCAGCAGTAGAGACCTTCAAGTTCCTGGGCTCCACTATCTCCCAGGACCTGAAGTGGGCATCCAACATCAGCACCATTATCAAAAAGACACAGCAGAGGATGTACTTCTTGTGCCTATTCAGGAAGTTCAGCCTGACCCAGGAGCTGCTGATACATTTCTACAGAGGAATTATCGAGTCCATTCTCTGCATCGGTGCCAGCCTGCCCTCCATGGAGGACCTGTACACCTCACGGGTCAAAAGGAGGGCGGAGAGGATCACTGCAGACCCCTCACACCCTGGACACAAACTGTTTGAACTTCCCATCACTCTGATGAACTGTTAATTATGAATGGAGCAACAGGACACTGCAACCACTGCAGGGCAATAATTGTAAATGGTACCACTACCTGCACCAATCTGATAGCTCAAAATATGTATTAATGTATATAATGTTTATGAATACTGTCTCTCCTCCTTCTGCCATGCTTCCCCTACCTTATTGCACTATTCTATTGTCTATTGCCTAAAACACACTGAGAACCTCTGTGCTGGAGACAAACTCCTTGTATGCTCAACATACTTGTCGATTAAAGCTCATTCTGATTCAGATTTATGGTATGGGCTTATATGTGTGCTTGATGTAAATCCAGTGACATTACCTTCCTCACTTTAGCTTCTTTGAGCTTCTCTAGGGCCAATTTAATTTTGTCTGCCTTTGATTGTGGTTCACTCTGGAAAAGTCATATTAAGGGATAATTAGCTGTATTTTCATGATCAGAGGTAAATTTTGAGTTACTGTGCAGCACTCCAGATTGTACAGTGTTTGGTGGTTGAGGAAAAGCAGCTGTTGCCTCAAATCCCTGGGTCATAGCAGGCGGAGCAATGTGATTGTCTGTGAGGCCACTGTTCTGTTGACAAGTGGAAGGGTCTTGCTGAGTTATTTTTGATTCCAGGTCCGCCACCAGAGTGTCCAGGTCTTGTTCCTCCAGCTCATTAAGAGACTCTGTGAAGAGATAAGAGCAGTAGTAGCGAAGCTAAGTTTTAAATTTCGAACACCTTGCACTTTAATTTTAGCAAACATCAGACCATTTGTATAATCTAACGTAAAAGACCGCAATGCCAGGAACAACATGAGATTCTCTTCTACAGCAGTTTGACAAACATGCACAGCCAGCATCAAATTCTTATTGATTATAATTTTATTTTAATTTACAGTGAATAACTGAAATCCTCACATTTTTCCTACTTGGAAAATGTATTTAGATTTCTAATAAAACTAAACTTAATTCTTCAAATTAGGAAAAGGAGGGTTTTCTGGGAGACTTAAACCTCAATGCACTGCATGCTTGGTATTTGCTAATCAGCTAACAAAACAAACATACATTGAAATGTGAACGATTAGCTGGACATTTGTCAACTCACCATTTCACATGAGAGAACTGAGCTCATGACCCACCTTTAGGTTAGCATACCGGTAAACAGGGAAACAACTAGCCTTTGTCCAGAAGTGATCAAATCTGTCTTCCATCACATCTAAACTTCACTAACTAAAATGTTGTTGTCACCTGGTAATGACAAAACTCGGGGCATCAGGCTACCTGTTTTGCCTGTTTTCAGTCTTTATGCTACTGTATATTAAGCTAATGTCTCCTGGCTGTAGCTTCATACTCAACTGACAGATATGAGAGTGTTTTCAATCTCCTCATCTAAATCTTGGCAAGATAGTAAATGAGTGTAAACTTTCCCAGACTGTCAAACTGTTCTTTATCTCAGCTGTCTCCCTTTGTACTGAATCAAAGTTAAATATTCTTTAGCTCACTTACTTTGTTGATGCAAAGGACTAGTAGCTTGTAATCTTTATTTATGCCAAAGATGATTTCCACTCCTGTCCCTGCTGGTTTCTAAAGGTTGTCATGACCTTCTGGTGCAAGAGAAACAGTCACTCCTCATCTTCCACCAGCAATCTTATCTCTTTAAATGCTTAGTTGCATCCTACTACATTGCACTTACTTTCAGGACACTGTGACTTCCGCTTGTGTAACATTGCTGATCTGGAAAATGTAGCTTTATCAGCCTTTCTTGTGTTGGATGAGAGTATCTTTATCTGAATGTGCACTCACCATTCAGGTCTGTGAAGCCAATAGAGAAGGAGTGCTCTCTGTGTGAGGCAGCATCCACTTCTGGTGAGTCCGCTGTAGGCACTAGGCTCTGCGGAGAAGTGATGTGATGGTAAATTAGTGATAGCATCTCAAATTGCCAGCCCCACTGTTGTGCCCACACCTGTAGATTACAGTTGTATACTGTGAACACATCAAACTTAATTTCCTATAATGTTATAAAAGAAGCCATGTTTTGCTTCATTTTGTTGTCCTTATGTCTTATCAAGCTCTGTTTTCAAGATGTACCAATAATTATAAACAGGATATGCACTATAGAAAACTGATGGATGGACATTGCCTCTTCATATGCACAGTAAATCATGTGTCAGTTCATTAAAAAGAACAGATTTGTCAAAACTGTCATGTTGCAGTCTCACAAGTTGAACATTCGAGCCAAAGAAAGCCGTGTCCCTGTTAAAGAATCTGAAAGAAAGGAGCTATTATCAAACGGCAATACTTTAATCATTAACAGATGTCTACTGTGGCTCAGTCCTACTCTGTAAACAAGCTGGGCATACAGCCCACATGAACTTAAAATGAAGCCTGGCAGCAAGCAGTTTCCCCTTCATGAATGTATATGAAAACACTAGTTGTCATGCTGCAGTTGCAGCTTAAATGACACCTCTGAGCAACTTTCAGTAAGTCAGAGATTTTTAAAAAATCACTCTTTGCCTACAAGGTACAAGGCAATAAAGCAAACAGAACGGGTCAAATCAAATGGGCCCAAAGCCCAAAGTAAGTGGAATTACTTCAGATTCTTTTGTTTGTGCTTTAAATAAAATCTTTTTCTAGCAAACTCTGTGTTTATCAGTGTGATGGCTTTTCACGAGGACACACACCAAAGTGACTACAGAGCCTTCCTCTGGTATGTCTGATGTAATGTTACAGATTGATCCCATTCTTAGGGCTGCACTCGTTTAGCCTACATGGAGAAATGTGAAGTTGACAATAATGACTCGCACCACAGGCTGTGGATGCATCAGTTAGATGTGAGTAATGTTTTTCTTGGCGAGCCACGATTATAAGATGAGTGGCTTATGTGTGCTTAAGGGAATCTGCAACAATGGCCCAAGGTCCAGTCCAGATGCAAAGACTTCACATCTCAGTGCTGCCTTACACTTCTCTGTCTGATGGACAGTTTCAAAACATCTACGCATTATTGGAACATGTTGTCCAGTGCATTTTATTGAGACAGTGAGTCCTATAATTATACTAACGATCTCCTGACTTTTCTTCTGGCAACACCAAAAGCTCAACAGTTTTAGTTTTCAGTAAAATATCTAAAAACAAAACAAAACAAAAAGTCTATAAACATTCAAACATACATGCAGTCTTGTTTAGGGTAAACTGATGTAACTCTGGTGTTCCTCTGACTTTTCATAGCAGCATCCTTGGGTCTAAACTTTTATTTGTCCCATACTTTGTTTTATGGACAAATACTGTACCTACAAAACTTACACATACTGTACCCAGCTGTACTGTGTGTAGTATCAGCAAAGATAACCATAACCATGCTAACAAGCTGAACTGTGATGGTGAATCAGGTTTTATGTCTGCTAAACATCCACATGGTGGTGTTGTCTTTGTGAGCATGTTGATGTTAGCATTGAGCTCGTAGCACTGTTAGCATGGTTGTAGACACTGGGCCTTGTTTTTAATCAAACCCGCCTCACCTGAGAGAGATGATCCATTTCTCCGAGCAGGTGACTGAACATGGCATCTATGTCATCCATCTGAGAATAGTCAGTCAAGAAAATACAACAATAATAATTGTTTGAAGTACCTTTCAGAACACCCAAGATTTCTTATATAGTGTAGAAAAACTAAAGTGCCAATTAAGTACAACAATAAAATATCATCAAAATGTTGTTGGTATCAAGTGATATTCAGTAAAATATCATCAAAGTGACACTAAAAAAGTAATCAAAATGAATAACATAAAATGGAAAACCATCCAGTCTAGTAACACTGCTGCACATCGTCAGCATTAAACATTAAACGCTGTCTTAAAAAGAAGGGTCTTTAAAGCAACTTTAAAAGTTTCAATTGAGCTCAGTGTCCTTAGATTGTTTGGAAGCTTGTTCCAAAGCCTAGGAACAGCACTGGCAAATGCTCTGTCACCCATAGTCACTAACCTAGCATCTGGCACTGTAAGAAGAGATGTAGCGTGCAGGTTTCAAGGTGGGGCATAATAGGATACTAAGTTGGTCAAATATGTGGGTGCAGGTCATGTAATGTTTTAAAAGTTAAAAGAAGAACATGATAAGCAACTGGCAGCCAGTGCAGTTGTCTCAGAAATGGTGTAATATGTTCATATGACCTAAAACACAAAATGACTCTCACAGCAACAATTTGTACAACTTGAAGCTGCTGAAGGAGTTTTTTTTTTCCAGAATTCCAGATAAAACTGAGTTGCAATATTCAGGGCGCGATGTCACAACGCACTGACGAGCACCTCTGATTTGAGCAGCAGCAAAGGGAAATAAGAAAATACATAAAATAGATTATGGGAAAGACACCATAGAATCAGGATTTGAAACCTGAAAGCAATTTCAGTTCAGTTTAAACTCAGTTTCTATAGCCCATTTCGTGAAGAGTTTATTGTGCTGCAAATGGAAAACTTGGAAAATAAACTTTACGCAAAGGCCTGCATAAAAAATGGCATAGGGCACAGTTGAACAGAGTACAGAGTATAAACAATTTGTAAATGTCTGTCATAACTGTAAAGACAGATGAACAATATGCAAATACTTTACTTGATCAATTGACCAAAAAAACAACAACAAAAAAAAAAATGTTTTATGTTTCTAAATATATTCAAAACCAGAAGAACTGGGACATGTAAAGTGACGGAGCAGAGTGTGGGGCAGGTTAAAATGGCTTCCAAGTGGCTCGGGTTGTGAAGCCACAGAAGTTGTTTTTATTCATCCATGTGGTTTAAAGTGGTGGAGACTGTAGTTTATTAAAGCCCATTTTGGACCCTCACTGTAGTTTAGATCCACATCACATTGTTTTCCATCCTACCATGATGAAATAATAACTTTAACAACAAACACCACATGAGGTGAAGGAAAGCAGTGTGACATCTCTCTTGAAAACATCTCAGAAAACATCTCACTATAAAATCGTTTTATTAAAAATCAAAAATACTGTAAATGTATCACTAATGCTTTTGAAAAGGCTTCTCTTGATGTTATGTGGGTAACTCCCTGAGTAATCTGTGAGCTATGATATGGTGATAGCTCAAGATAAAGTATGCAACATTCTGTGAATTAGTATTTGATAATTAGAAAATTAAAGCTTCACCAAGATCAAACAGTTTTATCAGGCAAAGTTTTGTGTCTGGGTTTTTCCATATGGAGCTTTAGGCTCAAAATACATTTTACATGTGGAGCATCTTAAAAAGCAGGCTGAAACATTTGATCTGCATTTCTTGCCAACTCTTTGGGGTGTTGTTATGTGTGGCTGTCATTAATAACAGACAACATGTTGTAAACCCACCGCAGCATCAAGGGAGACTAGAAACACTACATTTAAAAAGAGGAAACAACAAATGTAGAGGCAGTATTGGTGGTACGATTTGCATACAGCAATTTCTTTCACTGGCTTTATACTTGCCTCTGCATCTGTTGCTTCATGTACTTGTCTTGATTATATATTTTGAAATCAAATTTTGCATAGTGCACGCTTTGTTTCCATTCTTTTCTGTATTGTATTTATGTATTAAGGTTTTCTGTTGTTATCTTTCAAAGCTCAACAAGCTCACTGCTGTGCTTCATTAACCACTTCCCACATCTCAGTTTGCCTTCAGTGCCTCCTGGGAGAGGCTTCTACCCTAATACAATCAAAAGTGAACCAGAACAGTAACGCTGTGGGTCAGAAACACACAGTGAGCTGAGGGACACTGTTAGGCTCCCTGTAGCTGTCAGGGAAATGAAAGAGGTGAAATATTTCTCTGTGGGTTAGTCAGACTGCTTCACATATAAGTAGTGATCAACTGTTCATATAACAATATTGATGATCAGCATTGTATTAACAACTTGAGTGCCTGATTTTAATGTTTTTTTCCCCTTTAAGATCACCAGTGGTGGTCAGGGATACCAGGAGCACTGCGGTTCCAAATTATTGATTATACGTGCTTTATAATTGCTTTTTAAGTTAATTTTATTCTATTCAATATTTGCTAAGACAATTTCTCAACAAAACAGCTGTCCTCTTTACTTTGGGCACCAAATATCTTAGGAACACAAGACAGCGTGAGTCTAAATATCTGAAGAGTGCTGCAGACATCCATTTGGCTGTGTTTAACTTTTACACTGAAATATATTAAACATTCAAGCCACAGCTGGAGGTATCCAAAGTGCATATTTATTCCTGTATGCAGTAACTCAATGTAGAGCCTCTGTCCCCTCTTTACTGCTCTCTGCACCACTTGTTCTTCTTCATGCACAGATAAACTGTATATATACATGCAACCTAATGTGCGTACACACAAACAGAAAGGCATGCAGTCTACAGTCCTGCTTGTACTGTCCAGTCATATTCTGTGTTTATACCGAACAGTAAACAAACCATCCATTAAGCTGCAATGAGGTAAAAGGGGAAGAGTGGAGAGGGCGGTAGTGGACTACAGTAAGCATTGTTTCCATATGAAAGTGAATCTCTCAGCTCAAGAAAGTGAACTTTACCTTTGGGGCCTCTCAGGACTTCTGCCTCACACATGTGAAAGTCAGTCTTACTGTAACTTCTATCTCCATAGAATCTTTCTCATATTAGAAACATACATTCACATAAGTACAGCAGGTTTCAGTATTAATTACTAGTACTGTACTGGACGGTGATGCTGTATTTGCAGCTCCTGATATGTGCCCATAAAACCACATATGTATATAAAGTCCATACTCTCCTTGTGCATTCCCAACTGTTGCTATTGTCTCCCACTGTGGTCTGACGCATCAACCGAACAAGGCAAAACCAGGAGAGAGACGGGCAGGCAGGTGAACAGGTGGGCGAGTGAAGCCTGAGCGTAAAAAGTGATTTATTGACACATATGCATGAAAGGAATCGGGAAACATAGCCTGCTGACAGTAAAGCAGCATGTCTCTTTTCTTGTGGCTGAGAGCTTCTTACTGTTTTCTAATTAGTTGCGTAAGCATCCACTGGCTGGTGTGAGAGAACATGTGTTTGTCCTAAACAAAGCTGACGTGTCTGCTCAAGCATTTAACTCCTAACGGGCCTAACAGAATGCAAAATTGTGTTTGAGTCTTTACACAACAGTGGTAGATTTGGCAGCACATTAGTAGCACAGTACACAGCTTTCACTCTAGAATTTCTTTAAAAAATTATGATATTATTATCATTATCATTATCATTGTAATTATCATTTTAGTTTTTCATTGTTCTTACCTTTTCTGCTTCTTTCACACATGGGAGCATCATGAAGTGTGGGTCACTGTGTGTCAGTCAGCCTTTAAGTAACCACCAGTACATGTGATTTCACATGCACTGCCTCTGCACATATTAGCGGAATTTCCTGTGAAATCAGGAAGTAGGTTGAAGTGTTTCTCCGATTAAGTAGACAGAGGTTCACTTTTCTAATTATTCTATATATAGGGGCCACAGCTACTGCAATATACTTTTGTTTTTTCTTCATTTCTTCTTATCCTTACATGGTTATGACACAACCACACAGATGTTCTCACTTATTTTGTCTCATTAGACCGCTCCTCAGCACATGTGTCTATGTATGGAACATAACTGAGTCATGTCTACCGTGTTACTCTTTTGTTGTATGTTACCCCTTAATTCTATTAAACACATGGACATTTCAGCCTTTTGAGTATAGTTACTGTAGTTAAAAAAATCAGTGAGACAGCAGCAGCGATCACTGAAACCAAAACTCTGGTTGTTTGCTCTTTACATTGGCTTTCTAAATACATCTTGGATCTGCTGTTACAGTATGAACAGACCAGAGCTCTCACATCATCTGCAGGTCTGCTCACTGTCAAAGCTAAACTCTGACAAGCAGTATTCAATTTTTACGCAGCACATATCTGGAAAAAATTAAAACCTGCTCTTTTAAATTAAAGTTGGCGGCATTTATTCATATCTTCTATTTGCACTGACACTGAACCATTTGACAGATACTTTTGTCCAAAGCAAAGTATGAGAGTCAAGCCATGCCACAGTAGATCAGCTTGAGGTTTTTGAGAAAAATAGTCTCAGCCCTGATATTTTAATTTGTTTGTTTGAGAAAAAGTGAAGATTAAACATAATAGGCACTGATATCTAAAACGTGCATCAAGTGGCTCAGTGTCATCAGGTGACACGGCCACATAGTGTAAAGCTGAGTGTCATCATCATTGCAATGGAAAGAGATGTGGTATCTCTTGATGATACCACTGAGGGTTAACATGTATAGGTTAAAAAGCAGTGGCCCAAAAATAAATCCACGTAGAACCCCACAAGTTATTTTAGATGATTTAGAAATGTATCATCTGTTGTTACAAACAACTGTCTGTTGATAAAGATAGTATAGAGTATGCAGTATATTTATTGTATATGTTGAATATTTAGATATATTTATATATGTTCTGTTGCACTTATAATACTTGGCTGCATAGTGTAGTTAATGCCATCAAAGGTAAAGCAAGTTACTGTCATTAATAACATCACTATGAATAGTGCAGACCGCTAAGAAATGTGTGAAGCCACAGTGTATAGAAACTGTTCACACACATTTAACAGTTTCATGAACTTTGTGACTGTCCGTTTGTGCAGTCTATTCTTATGCACAGTTGAATTCAATAGCAACACTCAGAATCACATGTGGTCTCAAATACCTGGAGTAAACTTGTCATAAGAGTAGTCGTACTATTCTCTACTGCCTTTGTGTATGTGTGTGCACATTGCTGTCTCAGCCTTTCAGCAAATATTTAAGAAAATCCCCCCTCTACATACTCATCTTGTGGCTGTTTATAACAAGATTTAATTTGGTTATAATAAAATACTGTGGGGAGGTGGAGGATTTAAGCAGTGTATTCACGGTGTATGTACTGTACACATATTGTGTGTGTATGTGGGGGATCCATTTTGCTGTGAAAATGAGTAGAGAGCTTCTAATACAGGCTGAAGCTTTAATCAAAACCATGTGAGGTCAGAGAAGGAAATGAGAGTGGCAATAAACTGTAAAAAGTTTACATTTTACAGAAGAGGCAGCTTTGGCTCAAACTTTTCAATATTACACAGTTGTATTTTAAAAGTCCAACCATATCAGAGATTTGAATCCTGACAGGGCTGCTTATGGCAAAAGATAGAATTAAAAGAAATAGCCCTTTGCCCTTTAAATAAGAATATAGTTAAATATCTCAAATTCCACTGGACCATGTAGATTTTAAAGTTATTGTGCAAATAGAACTGCTATTGAGTGACAGTAGAATATTCTAAATATCTGTCACATGCACAGCTTCAATAGGAATGAAATGACTCTGCAGAGTGGTATGTCCGGGAAAGCTACGGGTTAATTTAAGACTAGGAGCAAAACCTGTTGCCAATTAGGAACAGTGAGCGCCACATGTGGGCTAGACGTAGCTATCTCCAGAGGGGCAAAGGGGTAGAAACCGCGGTGCGCGCAATCCAGACAAGCTGAATGTCTGTGTAATAACTTGTTGGAGATCATTTTGCAGTTTCGTATATGAACAACTTTTAGATTAGATTACTGTATTTTTTCTTAATGAGACAGTTAAACAAGACCTACAGAACTGAAGGACCGATGCGCTAAAGGGCCACCATTCACTCGTGGCCTGTTTCCAGTTTTACCTTTCCGCATTACAACATGGCACATATCTCGACCATATTTTTCTTGTGTGTTACATCTTCACTCGGAGGAGCCCAGAGCTTCACTGGCCATGACAGGAGCAGACCGTGCGTCGGAACGCAGTGTCAGGGTGGTGGAGAGGCGGTAGCGTCCCGACGGCAGTTTCATCACTCTGCACAATCCAGACAAGGCCAAGTCTACACGAATTACCAACAGGATGCTCGTTTCGGTCGTCACCAAGCTCAGAGCGCGCCGTTAGCCCCGTACGCAGTCGTTCATCCTCAGGGAGGGTTTGCGCAGCAAACTGGTATGGATGGCACCAGGAGGACAAACCCGAGAACTATCACGGCAGAGGTGTTTCATCCTGGCTGCGCCGGAGGGACCTGTCCGACAACTGTCTCTCAGCGTCAAACGAGTGATGACAGTGCAACACGGGAGTGCAAAGGGATTGGATGTAAACTGATGCGCCAGAAGCCCAAGTCTTGCGCCGGAGACAGCTGCGGTACGCACGGAGGAGACGATGGGAGAGGCGGCTCTTCCCCAGTTCATGTGACGGACAGAGCCGCACAGTTTCTTGATGAGCTTCCGGACTCTGGGTCGGAACGTGGAGCATCGATACAGTTGACATGTGACATGAAACCAGGTCAGTACTGGCCTGTGAGTGACTAGCCACAAAATGGACAGAGGGATAAAATAAAATGATTTCAACTGCAGCCTTCTCAGTGAGATAGAGATAATGGTGGAATTTTACAGATATGTTTATGCCACAGATGCTTTATGTAGTTTGGTTCATCTTTATGTAAGTTAAAGAACCGTTTTATCTTAGTTCCTAAATGACAAGAATGACACAGTAACTGTCCTGCACAGTGCATGTGAATGGGGAAACCAGTTCAATTCGGCACACTCTAGAAGAAGAAGAAGAAGAACATCATATCCTTGCTTGGTTGATATCTTTTTGAGTATAAATTACTGGGGTCTGTCACTTGTAGTCTGCGTGTTCAGCTCATGCTTCTCTGGCACCAGACCACCTGATATATTCAGTAAGCCAATAGAGACTGGAAAGCTACCTTGTCTGGGAGTTTTTATTTTTTAAATTGCTGTGTAATATTATTCTGCCCTTTCTACAGGGACCAATGAGGTTCCCTCAGATGACGCTCTTGTGCTGCATCTGCAACTGTCCAAGGGCCAGCAGAAGCTGGTTGAGGCCCTCAGGGGCCAGCAGAACGAGATCAAGGAGCTGCAGAGGCTCCTGAGTGAACAGCAGGGGATGCTGGTCAACCAGCAGAGAGAAATACTGGAACAGCAGAGGAGGATGTATGAACAAATGGAGCAGGTAAGGCTGCAGTGATTATAATTAGGGAAACATGACACATTTTAGATAAGGTGGATGTAAAACACTTGACCTGCTGACCTTCATGTGGAGGACCTAATCCATATGGGGTCAGTGGAAGAGCATGTTCTGCAACTCATTTTAGTTTAAATTAGTAGGACAGACTAATAAGTGCGGCACAGAACAATCACAATTAGTAGTTTTTGATTATTATACACTAGAAAGTGATTGTAATTTTTTAAATACTTGATATTTCTACATCCAGGTGAAATCCCAGTACAACATACTGATGGACAGCATCAAACAAACATCTTTCCAGAACCTCCGGGAAGAGCTGGAAAGTCACATGGAAACCTTGAGTGGGCAGGTTAGAGCTCACCAAGCGCAAGAGGCTCTCTCTTTGCACAAAGTGGACATGGAGGCGAGTGTGATGGAGGTGAGCTATAAGCTGAATAACAACTACTGTACAACTTCACAATCAACAACTTCAGAATTCTACATAATTCCAGACGCTTGTATCTTCTCTGTTGTAAGTAAAGGTACTGGGACTAAAAATTAAATGCAGCTAAATGTATGAAAGTGACTTTCATCTTTTGCCAGCCATAGTTTTGCAAGAATGTGTGTCTTTTTCCAAACTATGGATAAATTCATTTGGAATAAACTATAGACAGATCTACTGCAAAAGCACACACCACATTATAAAACAATCTTGAGCAATGAAGTTCCATAGTTTTTCTGTACATTATGTCACTTTTTGTAGTGAAATTCTAACAAAATGTTATCTAAAATAAATGGTTTATAACTATATACTGGCATATGGTATGTGAATTGGACAGGAGAATAAAATATCTGCAGTATATGACATCTATACTTTGCTACTCTACAGTACATAACCTTCTTTATTTGATGTTCTGTTAATCTTTGTTCACCACACTGACATCTCTGATGCCATTAGGTGGGTCGCTCCCTGTTGACCTGTGGAAGCTGTGGCACTGAGGAGTACTGTGGCTTCAGCAGCGGTCGTCCTCGCTGTGAGAGATGCACTGTCTGTCCTGCTGGCTTCTTCCTGGTCGCTCAGTGTTCAGTCCATGCAGACAGAATCTGCCAGGTAAGCTTTATATAACGGCTGAACCTGTGGCCAAAAGCAGGATTCCTGCGTTATGAAAAAAAGGGGACGAAAAACACAAAAGCTTGTGTTGGTGAGTTCCTGAGGTACAGATGAAATGAAAGTAGTTTCTATTGTTCACTATAGAATATGTAAATAAAATCATGATAGACATGAAAAGCTGGAGAAATAAGAAGCAGGAGACAGTAGAAGAAAACTAATAGTATTGTAATTCAACCCCCTTTAAAAAACTGTTGATTTTGGTAAGGTCAGAGAGGAGGTCCTGGGGTTCAAGCTTTGCAGCTGACCAGGGCCTCTGTGTAGCATTTCCATGTTCCCCTCATGCCAGCTTGAGTTTTCTGCGGGCACTCTCACTTCTTTCTGTGAAGAATAATGACTCTAAATTGCCCATAAATGTGTGTGAGAGTGTAAGTCAGCCCTGTGATAGACTGGCGATCTTTCCAGGGTGTATCCTGCCCCTGGCTCAGTGTTGGCTGACATTAGTTCCAGGCCCTGTGCAACCCTCTTCAGGAAAAGCAGTATAACTAGATAGACAGAAACTTTATTGTCATTGCACTAAAAGAACAACAAAACTTAGTTCAGCAGCATTCCATATAGCAGCATAAATAAATAGTTGTCTTAAAATATACAAAATAAATAACTGTCTTAAAATAGTGTATAAAATATATTATAAAACTCCTCTAATAAAATAGTACACCCTCTGTTTAGATCTTGTTAGCTACTAAATGTCATAATCCAGTGATAAATTCACCACTATGAGCTGTACCTTTCCTACCAAAGTAGTCATATTTTGCTTTAAAGGTGCAGTGTGTGAGATTTAGCGATATCTAGCAGTGAGGTTGCATATTGCAAACAGCCCTTTTACAGCGATTACCGTAAATGTAGGACAAATTGCACACTCATAAAAGTGTGGCAAATGCTAAAGGCGGCTCACTTGACCCCAGGGGGCTACTCAGTACTGGCTGTGACCTGTCTAAAGCTGTCAAAACAAAAACATTTAGGTCGACTTTACCTGTTAGGCTAAATGACCTGTCCAGCAGAAATCAGGCCACTTCAGTGTCATTCTGGAAACATTTGCCCCTCATCAAGGATTTCCATCTGGGAAAGGCCACACCGGTGTTTATCCTCGTCTTGTGCCATCGCCTGTCCCGTTGCTTCTTTGATGACAGTGATTCATGCTGACTTTCTTTCTCTGGTGTTAAAGTTTAACTATGATCCTCCATTTCTTCAAATTATACAGTAGTTCTTAAACTCACAACAAAGCCTCCTCTTGTTTCTAACATTACTTCCATCTTCGTATTCCTAGTTTCCCCACATCCAAGCTGCTACTTCACTGTGAAAATGCAAAACAGGATTTCCATCTGGGAAAGGCCACACCGGTGTTTATCCTCGTCTTGTGCCATCGCCTGTCCCGTTGCTTCTTTGATTCTAAAATCACCCTCTGTTTAGATCTTGTTAGCTACTAAATGTCATAATCCAGTGATAAATTCACCACTATGAGCTGTACCTTTCCTATCACAACAAAGCCTCCTCTTGTTTCTAACATTACTTCCATCTTCGTATTCCTAGTTTCCCCACATCCAAGCTGCTACTTCACTGTGAAAATGCAAAACTCATGCTCTAGAGCCAGTGTGTGGTTTGTCCATTCTGGGCTACTATAAAAAACATGGCAGCCTTCATGATAGGAGGCCCACTCTTATGTAGATATAAAAAGCCAATTCTAAGCTAAAGAAAACAACGATTCTCATTTTCTGGTGATTACACATTAATGAATACATAGTTATGCATGCTCTAGCCCATTTCTGCTAATAATTCCATCTAAATCTTGCACACTGCTCCTTTAATGTTTATTCAGATCATGAATTTGTTTCTTTTTACAGGACAGAGATGAATGTCTTGAAATAGCTAATTTGTGTGGAGACCAGCAGAAATGTCTCAACACTCCAGGTAAACCTCATTACTGAGATCTTTTGACATTATTTGCTTTCAGTGGTACATCTACATTAATTTTTTTCTCTGCTGTGGTATGACCAGGTGGTTTCAGGTGCCAGGGCATGACAGAGCGTGATGCAAACTCAGGAATATGTGGCCGTGGTTACTTCTACAACTCAGACATGCATGAGTGTCAGGCTTGTAATGAGTGTGACGGAGAACCTGTAGTTTTACCCTGTACCTTCACCACAGACACCATCTGCTCCAGCCCTGCTGCTGGTGACAGTGCTCTTTCTCTGTCCTGGGCTGGAGATGTGAGTCTGCCAGGGGCAAAAGGACATGACATGGCTCATGCCTTCTCCTGCATGCAGCTTGACATCCAAGGAAAAGGTGACATAGACCTGGTGTCTGCTGAGAATGGGCACCTGTTGCTCAAGCAGCATGGTCTGGTCTGGCTGGATGAGAATCTCTCAGTGAGTCACAGCTGTCGCAGCTTCATCCAGATCTGTCTGAGAATGAACAGCACAGATGGTTCAGAAGGTCGTGACCTCAGTGGCATGAGGGTGGAGCAGCAAGAGGGAAGATCGCTTCAAAGTGTCAGCATTAGTGGGGTAGCAGAGGTTGCCCCAGGTCACATGATCACCCTGTTCCTCCGGAGTGCCAGCCACCACTGTAATCAAACCAGAGAAGGTCTCCAGCTGTATGACCCCACAGCAGCTCCGCTCAGCCTCCTCTGGCTCTCTCATGATACCGGGGCTGTTGCCATGACAGCACAAGCAATGGTGTCTGTACACTACCACACAAACTACCGCCCAGTGTTCCGCACTACCTCCACCTCCGACCATTATGTAGTGGGGCTTACTCACGACGGCCGTGGGGTCCGTTTTGCAGAAAGTGGCACAGTGCGTTTTGTATTCCAGCAGGCACTGTACTCCATGGGCCAGGCCTGTGTCAGTGAAGGCTTCCAGCTGTTAGCATACCTCAACCGTAACGGAACCGGCACAGAGCTGTGTCGTAGCTACAAACCAGGCGTCCACTATCGGGACACGTCCATATCTTTGTCTGGTGTGGCTAAAGTTGTTCCTGGGGACACGCTGAGCTTTGAGATCCTTTCTCCTGCACAGTGCAATGTTCGCTTCTTTGGTGATGAGACAGGCATCAGTACCGTCAGTTTGGTTTGGGTCCCTGCAGCCATTTCTTCCTCTTTGTCTGCTTCTGTGGCTCACACTGGCCTTCCTCCAGCTCTCAGGTGTCCCAGATGGGGCTGCCAGGGAGGGGATCCTCAGATCAGAGACAAGATTTTGTTTTCAGGGAGAGTGGCACAGTCAGTGCGGCTCTGGATCTCAAACTCATTCACTCCTGCAACTTGGTCAAGGTGACTCTGTTCAGGCAAAATGATGCAGAGAGGAAAGGAGGAGGCAGGGGGGCAGAGGGAGCTCAGCCCGTCCCTCTGGCCCAGCAGGTGGGTGGCCACATGCCAGAGGGCAGCCATTGGGCCAGTGTGAGCCTGCGGGCGTCCTTTCAGGTTCATAATGGCACAGTGGTGTTCTTCACACTGGACTGTGTACGTGGACGGATCAACCAGATCAGTTACCAGACAGGAAGTGGAGTGTCAATCCTCTGGGTAGCAGCATAATAAAAGACAACACTTTGCTTTATAGAGTTGGATATGATGGACTACTTTCATTGGCTTGTTTTTAAAGTAGTCAGTGGATGCCTTTAGAAATACACTCATTAGTGTTGAGAGATAGAAGCAAAGCCTGATACCGTTCATACATCTGCCCATTAAATATAAAACCGCAGTCAGCAGCCTGCTAAGTTCTACAGAAACAGTAGAAACAGCTAACCTGCCTTTGTCCAAAGGTAACAAAACACAGTGGTACTAAGTGGTTATATTTCACTTGTTTTATCTGTACAAAAAGCAACATGCATTGAGTTGTAGCTTTATGTCAGACTATAGTTTCCCCCTCCTGCATCCACTCTTTGAAATTAAGTGAAGCTAATCTAACAGAAGCTAACATACAATTAAAGTTAAAATGTTTGGCAAAAATGTGAATGAGCATACAGTATTTCGTAAACTATTTCTTTAAGATGCTTGATTTTGTATTGAGTAGTCTACAAATAATTTTAGTTTTTTAAAACTTATTTTATGCTTAAAAGAGATCAAATGTGCACTTTTATTTTAAAATGTAGCATTATGCTTTAGTTATTGTAATTTAATGCAAGTACTAGTAAAGTGTAGTGACTTACAAGTAATGGATCTAAGTGGTTGTATTCGTGTGATAATGTATAATTCCTTTCATTCAGCTTCCTGCTTTTATATGTTCAGAAATTCAATGTGTTGTGTGTGTGTGTGTGTGTGTGTGTGTGTGTGTGTGTGTCCTTTATTTATGTAATTCAGTTAGTCTGTTGATGCTAAAGGGCCTTCAGATCGTTCCCGCTGTTATTTTCTGCTGTCACCAGAAGTGGTTTGCTGGTGATGGTTTCATTCAGGATTGTGTTCTTAAAGGGCATGTGTTTCAAGTTAGCCACCATTTTCTAATGTGGGAATCTACTGCATGCATTGTTTATGACCATTTTGACCTAAAGAGAGCCTTGTACTTCACTTTAGTCATTGGTGACATTAACTGTCCTGGAGAAACAGCATGATATTTTACATATACTTCCTGTTTACTCAGATTAAGCTGTAATAAAGTGTATATTTGATGTTTTATTGTGAATACAATAAAAATATTTCCAGAGATTTTGCTGCCTCTTTGCAAGAACTCAAACCGTAGGAAGTTGAAACATAGTGTGGACATTTAAAACTAGAAGTAATGTTTTATTTCTAACAAATAAAAACTTGAACTGTTAAGTGATAAAGAGCACCTTTGCTCATTTCAGTGGAGTCAGATTTTACGTCTACAGCTTCACTTGATCTGGTATATGGGCTAGTTTCACTGTGTGGTGGCTAATGTTAGGTAGCAAACATTTTGAGTGATAAAACACTGCCGTAAAACGAGATTCCTGAGCTGCTTGACTGACTTTATGGTACTTATATGTACTTGTGCATCTGTTATTGGTATAACAGTTTGGTGCCATTTACCAATTATTATCATGCTTTAGCATTAGCATTTAGTTACAGTAGCTTATTTCTTCCCACATTTCCCACACAGAGCATTTAGAGACTGATAATCTAGCATGTACTAATCCTGTCATGAGGTTTTCCATACGTCTCAGTCAGTGCACTTGGCAGAAGCCATCAGGTGCTTACTCTTTCACATCAAGTCACAGAGGTTCTTTGTGACACATTTAAACCACTGAAATGAACCTCCTGGCCGTCCTGCCCACTTTCACAGACAACCTTCTCATTCTTTGATCGCTGCACCACTTGGTCAGTTGGCACATGATCAAAAAGCATTACAGTGCTGGGCATAGTATTCAGTGAAGACCATTATTTCAGCCTTTGAAGTCAAGACCTCCAGGTTAGTGTGTGCTATAAATTAATCAATACAATACAATATTTTTAGGGGATTAATGCAATTAATATGCAGGTTTGAATCTTGAAGATTCTTGCACAAAGCCTCCGGTGTCAAAGGAGTGCCAGCCCAACTATTTTCCGCTTTAACCCTCTAATGCTCAATAGGTCAAGGTTGACTGACCAGACTATTACTCTGAATATAGCATGTGCGGTGCAGTTTATGTACTAAGACTAAACCTTTTGCACAACCTTTGTCAAACACCAGAAGACAAAAGATAATAACCAGACCAGAGTCGACTAACAGAACAGACAGAAAGCATACCTTGAGACAAATGAAAACCACCACCAGGCTGATGGGTGTCTGGCTGGATGAGTTATAGTGGTCAGGGGCTGAAACATGTCTATGGAAAAAGATCCGAACCATATAGATAAGAGCTGGCCCCACGCATATAGCAAACTATGGCTTGGGTCTAATATAGAGGGTCTGGCAGGACTAGTTGGCCTAGCACATAAGCATTCTGGGTAATAGAGTACAGATGATGGGGAAGCTGTTGCTCAGGTATAAGTCTGTCCAGTGGGTCTGGGTGTGTTTCTGGGCAGTGCATGTATTTGTTTACATGTTGGAAAAAATGGTAATATTGAAATCCTCAGTGCATTCGCATAGAGATATTAGAATTCTTGGTCATTAATGCTGATCTCCAAAATACAACAGAAATGGTATCTATTTCTATAAACATAAATAACACCTAATGTGATAGATATATTTACAAGATTAATGACAATACACTTAATGACAATACAAATGTTAACACTATTAATATATCAGTATTAATGTGCATGTGCATCTTTTAGTTATTAATGGTGAGCTGACTTATACTAATACTATTAATACAAATGAGATACCTTGAAAAGATGTAAATAAATACTAAAAATGGTCTTGGTTTTTACAGAAAGAAAAGAGGTAAGTAAAAAGGTCCCACCCCCACATCCGCACTATTTGAAAACATTGTAGATATCCTGTTGATTTGTCTCCAGAAACTACAATACACTGAGATAAATGTTTCTCAAAGGGGAGTCTCTCACATCACAAGTGTCCATACAGGGCATGGGAGCCTCCACCCTTGTCATATATTAACAGGCATGTGTGATACACACAGAGGTAGAGAGGAAGATGGGCTCTCAGAGTTTGAGTATAGCATGAGGTGGATGGTGAACCTGGCTACATATGGTGCACAGACTGTGAACATACATGTAGCAAGAATGTGCAGAAAGCAGGTGTCCCAAGTTTTCCTTTGATTTTAAAGCAACCATAACAACAGGGTAGTAGACAGGCGGGAAGATTCAGAGCGCAGAATCAGAGAAAAGAAGAAGAAAGAAACTAACAGTGTAAAAGAAGCTGAGAAATCATCTATTGTGTCCGTGCGTCAGGAAGCAGTACTCACCTTTTGAAATGTTCTCCTCCTTTATTTACTCTTGATTCACCCAGAGGCATCCAACAGCGTCTGTGCTCAGTAGTCAGTCAAAATGTTTTAGGGGAAATGTTGCAAAAATGTGCTTGCGTATTGGTTTGGATTATATAATAGGCCACCAAAACAAACATTATCAAATGGTAACCAACCAAAACCTTAACAAAATGTTAATAAATAAAATCATAATGTTCACTATACAGCAGGTTAAAGCACATTATACAATTAAAAGATGTAAAATATCTAATTATACTGTACATTTTATAGATTTTGATACAATTTTATCAAATGCCATGTCATTTTTCTGAAAAGCGTATACTCTGTGTTGCTAGTGGCGTCATACTGCCCTCTACTGTAAATAAAGAGAATAAACCATGACCTGGAGGACTTAAAATTTATTATCACTACACACATACATATATTAATGCCATTAAAACAGGTAATCAGTGACTTCTTTCATATAATTTAATGTATTAATTTGCTATGTGACATTACATAACAGTAATTTATAGTGCTAAAATCTTGGTTTTAAGTAAAATTAGCTCAGATACAATTCCATACATGAATACAGACAGCGTGGCCATTGTAAGTGATTGTACTTTAGGGGTTACAGAACAAGATGTATGTCTCAACATCAGCATCTAACAATGTTAAATGCATAGTGATCTCATCAAGGTTTTACACAGGTGTATGGCTGTATCACTGTACTGAACTCAATGACTGCCAACATTAAAAAAGGCAATCTTCTAATAATGTGTACAAATGTGAGGACAAGGCAGCTTGTGAGCTGTGATTACAAACAGCTAAGATCCCACATACTGTACTGTAACACGATACTCATTTAGTGATGTGACTACAAAACCCCCACAGTGTATACTTAAAGCATTCAGGCTTGTGATATTAACATCATCATGTATAACTGATCCTCTGGTGTATCCAGATGCCAGGGATCAAACGTGATATTTCGGCACTTATGTGTTGACTGTTGCAGCAAAAAAGGAAGTTGCATTGCCATAATCTTATGAAAGGCATCTTTGAGGCAAATCGAGGTGAAGCTGACAGCAGCCATGGGTGACGGCGACGCACAAAAGTGACAAATATAAGAGCCTACGTATTTTATGTTAAGCAGCTGCAGCTTCTTAATGTTTATCGCTTTCAGCTCAGCTTGACTATAGCTGGAATGCACAGTGCAAAGGTGAATAAACTTCTATTTGGGTAAATACATTAGCATGATACTCAGCTGCACAAGCTTCACACAGCATAAGGTCCACAACGCTGCCATAACATTGTTAACAAATATATAACGCAACGCCACTTTATACTGGATTATAATTTTAAGAGAATTTCCACTGTGTGTAATGTTCTTAGCAAACCTGTGTATTCAAAGACTATGACTGTAAATTGAACATGTCTCAAAACACTATAATAATGAGTTGGTTTTTGGTCCGAGCTGCAAAGAGAACTGACTGTCTCTAAGAGTGAGAGAGAAGACAAGGGGTGTAAGGAGAATAACAGGTGGAAAAAGATCTTGGAGTGAGTGAAGGTGTTGAAAGTAGTAAAAGCAAGAGGAGTGAGGAAGAAGAATGAGTGGGAACAGATGTTAAATAAGGCCCGTAGGAGGAAGGTGAGAGGTTTTAGTGCAGAACTGCAAGGAGGAGGCGTTTGAAGTCTCCACCACACTCAGAATCCAGGGCATCCTTCAGGGTAACATCGTACTTCTCCAGGTACATGTCTTTCACCGTCTCCAGGTCGATCTGTGGATTAGCAACATACTGTAGCACTGCTGTCACAACAAAATCCCTTTTCTTTGTTGAGTTTTCTCTCTGGACTGAGTGTTTACAGGGCCAAAAGTTACTTTCAGAGCACAACTTCAGACCAAAGTTTGGTTCTGAATATCAACCAATCTGGAAATTAAAGGATAAGGCTAAACATTTTTCATATTAGTATTTTCAACAATTCCTTTACAGATACCAAAAGCCAACAACAAATTACGTCCATTCATGCTCATATGAGGAAAGTAGCTAAGTGCATTTACTCAAGTACTGTAATTAGGTGCAATTTTGAGGTATCTGTACTTCACTTGAGTATTTTCATTTCCTGCTACTTCATACTTCAACGTCACTACATTTTACAGAAAAAATATTCTACTTAAACACACTGAGTGGTTACTCAGTGTGATCTGATGGCTGGCTCTGCATTTACACACACACACACACACACACACTTGCCTCAGAACGGCCTACAATGATGCGAATGAGTGTGTCCTCGTCAGTGCCCAGCCCCTTCATGGCAGCATTAAGGCGTCGGGCAAAAAACAGCTGTGGGTTCTTAGCACACCTGACTATAAATCACACACAGATGCAAAGGAAGAATGTGTTATGAGAGTAATTGACAACTGATTGGATGGCATATGGTGATGGATCACTGTGTTATGGCATTACCCAGAGTAATGTAGCAGTCCTTGAGAGTTCCTGTGGCCTCAGAGCCAATGGTGTCCAAAATGTCTGTTCCTGACAGCTGTGAGACAGGACGTTAATGCATGAACTAACATCAGTGATGAGAAGCCATCTTCTAAAAACAGCCTTTATTCTAAGAGTTAACACAGTCATTACCGACTCGTAGACCTTAAAGGTGGCCTGCAGCTGCATGTAGTTCCTGTGTGTCAGGATGTAGGTGAAGGTCGACTCATCGGTGCCAAACCTGCCTTCTCCTGCCTGATGGTTAGACAAAGATGAACTAACACATATAATAGTAATATTAACACCCAGACTTGTGTGTTTGTCTTAGTGTTAGATGCCTCTCCATCCTTTAATCCCTCAGCATTAACCAGTTGTACCTACAAGATTTTGGATAAGTTGATGAGTGCAGTGTTATCACAGCAAAAAGAAATTACTACCATTCGCTACCATAAGATATTTAATTCCCAGACAAAAGTGGTTGGCCAACCAATCAACATGCAATGATACTGTATCTATCCCCAGAGCCACAGCCATAGTGTGGGTCAGTCACACCTGTTCTTTTTTGTAACTGAGGGAATTCACTTATAGAAATTCATACTTTGTTGCTTTACTAGGTGCACACCTTTAATTTCCTACAGTATTACTGTGGAGCTCTAAGTACAACTCTTCACACCATAGCTGTGAATTTCCACATGGATCCCACAGTCCTGTACAAGCCACATTACAATAGTGTGTTATGACAAAAAGGCTTGCATTTAATAAAATCTGCACTTAACTCAATCTGAGCTCACATGGTTAAGGCAAACTATGATTAAGGGCTCTTATTTGAAGGAATTATGTAGCCCAGATTTCATCGGTGAACGTACCTCGAACAAAGATTTTGCATCCTGTTCAGCTAAATCCTCATCCACCTCATAGCCTTCATCCCTGCTCGCCTGCAGAAAAAGAGGGACGCAGGAGTGAGACACAGGGGAAAAGTGGGGTGGACAGATTTATGAAGACAAATAATGGAGGTGATTCATATATAGAGAGTGAGTGAAAAGATTTATTCAGTGGAGAAAAGGTAAAAAAAAATCTCAAGCACTTAATGGGATAACACATCTGCTCCACGTTAATGGTAAATAGTTGAAGATTAATGAAGTTGCAGCTCTGTGGAGTCACTCTGTTTTTTCTGGGCAAAAGACGAGAGGGGCAGCAGACAGGGCTGGGAGCATTTACAGAGCTGGAGCTGACACAGAGGCCAGGGCACCAGAAACAGTGATGTGATGTATGACCAGTGTTCCACCAGGCGGATCCCAGCATGGAGAATAGGTCTGACAGCCGTTATCAAATGAAAGTACCATTCTGCTTCTTAAAATGGCTTCCTTCCAAATTCAGGACTTCCAACCAACTATGGTTTAAAATGGCAGCAACTTCCAGGTGCTTAATGTAATTTATAGCTAGAACTGTCCCCGTGCAACTAGCCAAAGAAATGGGCCTGTAGAAGTGTGTTTTCTGTTTATGTAAACCCAAAAGAATGGGTGTTCACCTGCAGCAGTGAGATCAGCAGGTTCCTCACATCTCCACTGGTGTCATCCTCAATGTCTGCCTCCAGGTCACATTCATGCACTGCAGGGTGAAGCCCCAGACGGTCACCGCTTTGATAAACAGCAATTTTTAATGTTCTGTAACAAGTACAGCTTGAGAAGCCAGAATATGAGGAACACATGACTCACTACACACTGATTCATACCCAAAAGTGATACACCCAAGATGTTCTGTACAGTTAACTGATCACATTTTCCAGTCTGAGAGGAACATCAGATTGATGCAGCATAGAAAAAGACTCACCCTGGGCATACGCCTCCTTGTAGCTAATGATGTCCTGTTGGGACAGGGAAGATGAGATTAGGTCACTTAATAACATTAAAGCTGTTCTAATAAATATTTGTATATTACCAGTGGATAACATTACAACATATGTACCATGCCTCTTTCCCAGTGTTGGCAGGGATTGGTTCCAGCACACTCCCACCCCACCCCCCACATTAATTGAAATGTTTGCTGCACAAATACAAATGATGAGCCATGTGGGAGGACCAGAGGTGATCAGAGGCTTTGATGAGTTTATCAAAGTTAAAATGAAGTCAGAGGAAGAGTGACACTAGAAAAACCATATGATGTATACATGGACCTCATTGGTGGCTGTGCACAGGATCTCAACCAGCACAGCTTCATCTGTGCCCGCCCCCTTCATGGCCTTCCTCAGCTCCTTGGTGAAGTAAATCTGAGGAGGGTCCAACATGGCTAGGATGGCTTTCTCAAAGCTCCCTGCCAGCTCCTTCTTCAGGACCTCCTCCAGCTCCTGAACAGACAAAGAGGAGACACATGGCTGTTGTGTGTGTGTGTGTGGGTATGTAAGAAAGAGAGAGGGAGGTAGGCAGGTACTTACATCATCATACTTCTCAAAGAAGGCCTGTTTGATTTCCACACGCTGAGCTGCAGATCGATTGGCCAGGATTTCAATGATGGCTTCTTCATCTGTGCCTGGCATAAAGGGTTAATTCAGCTGTTCACATTAACGATATAGAAATATTACACATATATTAGACACCTAAAAACAGTTAAGGCTCAAGCAGTCAAAGAAGTTTGTTGTCAACTTGGCAGGCCTTCTCTTTGGAATGGCTGCCATGTCGACATATTCCTGACAAAAAGGAGTAAAAGTGTATTTATGTACTGAAAAAGGCTTTTTAAAAGTTACATTTACAATAACTCCATGTAATATGATAGTGTACAACAGACAGCACGACAGAGTACTGTTTCCACTTCTCCCACGCTGATATACTGCCACTTAAAGCATAAAGATTGTCAATCACAATAGTTACTGCTCCTTTAAATCTTTTTCAGCAAAGATGGCAGTCCTCATACATCTGCTTATCATCCATGTTAACAAGCCAGGTGAGGAGAAGAGACTGAAATGTGTTTCCATTTTGCCTTGTGATAAGGACAAATGATCCTCTTATCCAAAAATGTACAATTATGATGATGGCATTTATCTTACTCAAGCATTAAGACATTAATACACGTTTTCATGTCATCTCAACCTGTTGCTTTTATATTTAGGAAGGATATGGATGTGGATTTATTAGATGACTGCATTAATACTCAGGAGTCATTGCAATAAGGTGACAAATGGATGTTCCTTAGCAAGTGAATAGAGAAAGCGAGAACGCCTTCAGGTCAGTGACAGAGGAATGAGCAAAACATCACATACACTTACCTAAACCTTTACATGCTTTTCTGATCGCCTTGATATCAGCCGTCACATCAAAGTCCTCATATGGGACTATGGTGGGCTAGAGAATGGAAAAAAAAATTCATCATAAACTTTATTAACTATGTAATAATGATCTTCAACTCATACTGTACATGTAGGGTTGTGTTACTTCTGATACATTGACAGCAGCCAGCAAAATTAAGGAAACAATGCAGTATAATACTGATGTATAACTGACAATTATAGAATATACTCTCTCTATATATCTATAATACAATTTATGTTTATATATCCCTTGTGCAGAGTTACAGTTAGACTGCTCTACACTCACACAGGTTAAATAAAGAGTGGATGTATTCTGGTGTTACGCATCCAGGCCAGGAAAAGGGCGCAGTCGTGTGCCTGCTGAGTCATGGGGCAGCAGCACCAGCAGCAGCCTCCGCTCCTCGCCCACCCTCCCTATAATACAATGCGGCCTTATTGATCAGCGTTTCTGAAAAATTCCTCTTTGCTGCTGCCTCCTCGGGCTGGCAGGACACACTTTGCTCAAGTTAACTGCGCAATTTCTGCGTCTCAGTACTGTTTATAGAAAATTTGAGCAAAAGTCGTATTTTTATTCCTCAAACAAACCGTTAATGTTGCTTTTGACGTTGTCTGTTGGCTTTTAGTAAATGTTGATTTATAACTGTGACTGTTTTCTCACGACTCGGCCTTACAGCTCTGACGAAGTGCCTTTAAGTGAATTCATCATATGAAGACAATTTAGAGTTCTGGTTATTTCCAGCTATAGAAAATCAAGATTTCTTACCTGTACGTTGCCCATGATATTTAACCAGGGTCTTTCAGTTATAACGAGAAAAACCAAAGCTGTGTGTTTTGATGCTGTGCTGCGCAGTGCCGGTCTGTACTTGAGATGCGTGTCCAGTCCGATCGGCTGCTCCTCTTGCAGGGACGCAGCCCTGTCCCCTGATGCAGGGATGACGTCACTGCCGGGCTGGGTGCCGCCTGGAAGAAATACTAGTCATCAGGCAGTCATCAGGGAGCTCTTAGAGCTGTTTCAGGCATAGGGTATATAATAACAATAATAATATATTATTACTGAAATATTTATACTTGTGGTCAATGATAGGATATACAGCATCTATGTATATTTACTCAAGCACTGAACTTAATTATGTGGTACTTGTACTATACTTGAGTACTTCCATTTTATGCAGCCATATATGTCTATCTCACTGCAAAAGATAAAGAGAAAAATAATGGCGCCAGATTGATGATTTTAGCCTTTGGCAATAGAAAATGGCACTGAGTGTTAAGGGTTTTTCTAGAATGTCTTAAAGCCTTTCACAACATTCAAAAGGTGTAAAAACTGTATTGTAAAGTCTTCCTTAACTGTCGAATCAGAAACCCACCTATACACCGGCATAGTGTCAGGTAAAGGTGATCTTTGACATAGCTCTGTGAGTAAAGACACTAGTACAGAAAACACAAAGCAGTTTGAGAGCTTCATCTGAATTCTGGGAAGCTGCTACAGTAACTACGCAGCCAGGACAGAAGCCTAGACATGGAGTGGCTCAGAGGAAGAAGGCTGTCCTCTCCTCATGGATCTCAACCAGAGTATGCAAATCACGCTGTCCTTAGCCCCGCCCTTCAAAGCCCTCCCCTTCACACCAAAACACATGGAGAGAAGTGATATATACATACATACATACACTTTGTATTTGGACAGTTTCATCTGTAACAGTGCATTGGAGAGATATGATTTGTCAGAAATGATTTGTTTGAATTTGGTTTGCCTAACCAGTAAAAGTAGCATACATTCCATACAGAACTCCAAAATGGTCTGGACAGAATTATTGTCATCTTTTCAAAATCATCAGAAATAGCTGTATTTCAAACATGTGATGCTCCTTTAATTTTTAATGAAACTCACCTGTAGCAACCGACAGGTTCTGGCAATATAGAAATCACACTTGTAACCAGTTAAAAAGGAGAAAAGTTGATTCAACCTTTGTGTCATGTGGACCACACTGAGCATGGAGAAAAGAAAGAAGAGGAACGAACTATCTGAGGATTTGAGAACCACAATAGTGAAAAAGCCTTGACAATCTCAAGGCTACAAGTCCATCTCCAGAGATCTGGTTGTTCCCATGTTCACTGTGCACAACATTCTCAAGAGGTTTACAGCTCATGGTGCTGTAGCTAATCTCCCTGGATGTGGACAAAAATAGACATACTGCAACGAAGGATTGTTCCAGTGGTGGATAAAGAACCTCGATCAACTTCCAAATAAATTCAAGCAGACCTACAGGCACAGGGTGCAACGGTGTCAGCTCACACTATCCATCACAATCTGAATGACAAGGGACACTATGGTAGGAGACCCAGGGAGCCCCACTGCTGACACAGAAATATAAAAATGCCAGATTGGAGTTTGATAAAACCTACCTGAGGAAGCTACAATCCTTCTGGGAGAAAGTCCTGTGGAAAGATGAGACTCAAATAGACCTTTTTGGTCGAGCACATCATTCTGCTGTTTTCAGAAAATGAAATGAGGCCTTCAAAGAAGAGAACATGGTCCCTACAGTCAATCACGGTGGAGGTTCACTGATATTTTGCTGTTGCTTTGCTGCTTCAGGCACTGGATGTCTTCACTCTGTGCATGGCATTATGAAATCTGAAGACTATCAATGAATTCTGGGGCACAATGTAGGGCTTCAAATCTGAGAGACCTGGAGCAGCTGGCAACAGAGGAGTGGTCCACAGCTCCAGTAGAGAGGTTGAAGAAACTCACTGATGGCTACAGGAAGTGACTGATTTCAGCTATTTTGTCCAAAGGGTGTGATACCAAATATTAAGTTGAGGGTGTCAGTAATTCACTCCAGTCCATTTTTGGAGTTCTGTGTGGATGTCAGGGTCAGCCAGTAAAGCTACGCACAATGTTAACAGTGGACTCAATTACAAAGCCAGGCGAGATGGGGTAAAGAATATTGCTTTACTGTATTCACTCAGAAAATACACAGTGATAGTCCAGAATCCAATACCCACATCAAACAACAGTCCAGAGTCAATACCGGCAAACGAGCACAGCCAAGGGATCCAAAAATGGGAGGTCAAGAAGCTGGTCCAGTAGTCGGTACACAGAAGAAACATTCAACACTCAGGAGGGCTAGGCAGAAATCGGTAGTCAGGAAACAATCCAGGGTCAATAACATGAATCACTAAAGCAAGGATAATGCTGGAAAGTCTGCACAAAAACAAGAACAATCTGGCAGGTTACAGATGGGAGAAGGCTGCTTATACTGGGGTGAAAACAGGTGCAGGTAATGAGTACTGATTACTGTAAAGAAACCATAACAAATAAATCTAGAACAGGAAATGGCGACAAAATAAGAGCCTAAAACAGGAAGCGGTAGGACAGAACCCTGACAGTGGAATGTATCAGATTTGGGTCTTTTTCTGTTGTTCCAGTTCAAACAAAAGAAATAAACATGAGAATACCAAAGAATTTGTGACTGCAACAATTTTGTGGGAGACATGGTGCGTTATCTGACAGAAATGCAGGGATGCCAATATTTTTGGCCATGACTGTGTAATGCATGACTGAAATGTAGTGAGGTATAAGTGAAAAGAAGCATAAAATGAAAATACTCAAGTACCTCAAAAATACACATATGTACAGAACTTGAGTTTAATTCCACTAGTGTCTAATTTAGAGTTCTCATTTTGGTTTTTCAGATGTAGGCAGTGTGGCAACGTGAAACTTTAAGGAAAATATACTGTTTAGACATTCTCCGTCCCCACAAGGTGGTAGTGTTGTGCAAAGTGAGCATTAACTACCCACTGCAGAAGGACTTAAATAGCTGCACTAGGAGTGTGGTACACACAAGCACGTGTTCTTTAGATAAAAAATACAGAACCTATAGAAACTGTACAGTCCTGAAGCAAACAGAGACAAATCAGATGAAGTTGTATATAAATATTTAATTCTGAGTTGAGAACAAGGTATTTACTATGTACATGCAACACAATATTAATGTACAATATAAATACTCCCATGTGGATGCTACAACAGTTTGTACCATTTTGGAGCAACACTATACAATATGACAATCATTAAAGCACTAAAATACATTTAGTGGGCAAATTACAATATTCCATGTGAAACAGTCTCAAACCACCTGAAAAACCTTGTGACAGGCAGAGTGGTGGGTCATGAATGTTTATCAAACGTTTCACTTTATGGATGCTGATTCTTAAATGCGTCATGTGCATAAGCAAAACATATCCCAATCATACAGAGGAAATGATAAAATGCTTGATAAATAAATGACAACATCTACAGTATATTGGACAGTCCCATATGCTCCTGTGTCCTCTTTATCTATTTCACAATATGTGCAACAATTGTTTATGCCTTCTGGTGGATTTTAGTATATCATAGCCCCATGTGTCATATTCACTACTGCGTGTCTGCAGTGGGTGGCTGATCACAGGACAGAAAGGCTGAGTGTTGTTGTCGGAGATGACAGTAAATTACTCATCTCCTGTCAGCGAGAACGTGACAAAAAAAGCTTGGTCATGCAAACTTGTGGTTTTAGCAACTGAATATGTGCAAAGATTTGGAGGAAGGAGCATTTAAGCAGGTGTAAAAAGAGCAACTAAGTGAAAAATGCATTATACACATCATCCACTCTAGTCAGGATTGAATATGAATGACCTCATCTCATGTTTGTTATATATCAACAGAAGAAAGAGCATAACGAGTAAATCAAGAGCAACGATAGGTAAAGCCTCGTGGACATACACGTATTAATACTGCTTAACTGTAACTGCAAGTCATTTAAAACATGTGTACATTTCTGATAGCAATGCCTATCATTTCAGAAATATCATGTGGTGCATACTGAGACAAATATCATAGGCAACAACATCAAAAGTTCCACTGTCGTACAGTATCTGAGTACACACTGACCAATAAACATTTAGTTATTGGATGCTTGATACAGTAGTTTGCCATATGTGTTTTTTTTTGTTTTTTTAATCAAACAGATCATCTTTGTGAGTCTGGCCTATAGGTGAGGCATCACAGCTGTGTCTGGGGATTTGGTCCTGCTTATCAGAGCTAATATCTTATTTTTCCTTAGGTCTTTTTTTCCCCTTTCGGCTTGTTTTCATCATCACCATCTGATACAGTAAGCCTCCACTGATGCAGAAACGTAGAAACTCACTAGGTGATTACTGTGTTTGTGACAAACCTTTGTCTGATGTGCAGGTAAATCTGAGTCATTCACAAATCACCTCAATGTACTCACTGTGGTAAAACACACACAACGTAATTTGGACAAATGTGCAAGCAAAAACTGCAGGCTAAAAAGTTTTTAGAGTGACTTCAAGGTTGCATTCACTTCACTGTACAGTAACAATGAGGAGTTTGTTGGATTGAACCAATAGACAGAAGAGCAAATGGTCTAAATCTTTCACTTACTGTGGGTCACTCGGAGAAAAATGTTCTTATCAAATGCAATGTCACATAGTCAGTGTTCCATTTCCTCGCTTTGTGCACTGTGCTGTTGCTCTGTGATTACAAAAAGCATACACTCACCACACCAGTCATCATGCCCTCTCACCAGAGTCCTGGTCCTGAAAGTCCCAGGGGCAAACATCTGCCATTTTTGCCCCACTGATGACTGCAGGTTTGTAACCAGTACTCAAAGAGACCTCTCTCTTTCTCTCTGATGAGGGTTTAGTTTTCTGGAAAAAGCTGGTATGTGAGGGCTCGGACTCCCAGGAGAAATTCTCCCCTCTCCTGATCTCCACCACTTCTGGGTCTCTGGTGGAGCCCCTCCGTCGCTCAGGAAGCGGCCCACTGCACTCTGATGACTGGCTAACCCGTCTCCTTTCTGATGACGGCTTGCTGGAAGAGCCCCGCCTTTCTCTGCTTTTCTCCTTTCCCTTCTCCTTCTCCTCTTTGTGGTTGGATGAGCAGGAGCCTTTCCGTTTCTTTGTGTGTGTGCTGGAGCTGTTGCAGGTCTTCTCCTGCTTGGGTGAGGGTGGGCTGGTGTAATCCCACGAGTTGATCTCCACCATCAGGGACAGAGGTTGTAAAAGGCTCCCTGTAGATTTAGAGTGGTCTGAATGGAGTCCCTTGGGTTTTCCATCAGTGGGTGTGACACTTTTCTTATGCCTGAGCCTGTCTGGAGAGATAGAATCTGAGTCTCTTTCTAGCATGGGCTGCTCAGTGAACTCCCAGGTGAACACATCTGGCTTGAGAGGCAGAGGTGACTTGGGTGGATAAGATTTCCGTAGTTCCCTGCAGTCCTCCCTTTCTCCTCCTTTATCTTTGGGGTAGTGTCTGCTGGAAGCAGACTGCCCTGTTTTCTGCCTCTGCTGGGACCGACTCCCCCTAGTTGTTCCAGAGCTACTGCTGCCTCTCCGGCCTGAGGTGGTTTCTCCAGGAGCAATGGAAACATGTTTCTGGATCTTTGCTTCAGAGGGAGTCTGAACTTCTTCCAGCTCCCAGGGACAAACTTCAGACACATCGTAAAGGTTCCTACCAGTTTCCGAGCAAATGGACGGCTGGCTGCCACTCACCTGTTACAATCAAACCATAAAATAACTTTAGTCTAAACATTTTCATCTTAAGGTTCACTTGCTTACTTGTTCTGGAGTTTTCAGCCAGAACAAGTACTGCTGAATGGCTGCAGCAGATGTAGCCAGTCAATCATTGCAAATTAACTACCCACTCAATCAATCATTGCATGTGTTAATCAGCTGATTAGAGAGCTAAATAGGGCACAGCAAAGAATTAGTTTCATCATCAAATAATAAAATTATTCACTCTAGAAAATGTAATAAAATATCATTAATGCCTCAATATCTCAAGCTGTTTGTATTCAATTTGCTTTTCCTATGCAATAAAATCTGAACTCATGGTCCAATTTGTAGCTTTATCTTGACCTTTGAAACACATTTCACAGTCTTTATTAGTGGAAGGAGTTTGATGGCATGACATAAATGTGGACCTTTGGTTATGGAATATCAAGGGATCATGTATAGGGGTGATGGTTTCTCTGTACTGAATGGTTTTTTGTTGTTTTATCATCTTAGTGTTTCCAGTTGTTGCATGTAATATCATACACCACTCCTGTTTCCCTCTCAGAAGGGTTATTGCTTGGGCATTTTGAGAACATTTGGCAACCACTCGTCTCATATCTTGTAGGGGAAACAAATGAAATAGGATACGCCGCTGAGTAGACACTTCTCGTGAGGGGTACAAATGGGGGAGGGATTAAAGGGAATTGACTGAGGGGAAGGGAAGGTGGAGGGGCTGGTGTATGTTAAGGTAAATGTATTCCAATAATAAATAATATGTTTTGGGTTGTAAAAATTGTTTCTATTTGTTGGATGCATGAAGAAAGGTTCTTGTGTTCAGGGTGTATGTGCTGACTCCTTGTAACTTAAAGCTGCTATAGTCAACAGTTTTATATTTACAATGGGTCAAATGACTGCATGTATGTTAAAGGGGTCACTCATAGTGTGGAGTCCACAGATACTGTACATACCACTTGACTTTGTCATTCTCCTCAGCACTACAGAGTGTTTTAGCTTCTTTTAGCACACTGTTTTGGTTAGTTTTCAGTCTGTCTAATCAGACAGTAGCACCAGTAGCAGACAACTGTTTTTAGCAAAAAGAGGGACTAATAGTCTGACTGCACACTGCTTTCCCAGCACCAGAAGGCAAACAAAGTTACAAACTAGCCGGTGAACACAGTAGAGTGTTTAGCAGCTAAAGGGCCTGACAGTGTTTCTGGGAATTGATCAGGATCAGAGCAGAGCTAAAAGCAGAGTGAGTACTGGACTTACTTTACTCAGGTGGCCAGAAGCTCACAATGCATGCTAATGTTGTTCTGCGTGTGCTGGATGTGTAAATAGCTGTTTGCAAACAAAAATGGCTTTGCCACACCGAGTTATAAGGTGATACGATGTACAATATGTGATCTGTCAGTTTTGTGTTTACAGCTTGCTTGAGCTGCCCCTAAGTGGTCACAAACCAGTCAGTACTTGTTTAAAGAGGGACCAGATATTCTTACAGTCCCTCGTCTTCAGTTAGGGCAGCATTCTAGTCATTTACTCCTTTTGAAATGCCCTTCATGCATGGGCTGCAACTCCTCCTTCCAGTCTTTGTACTCAATAATAAAATGTTCTACTCTGAGTAGGAAAGTATTTGTTGAGCTAACTGCTATTTCCAAGATAAATAATAAAT